CAACGCATCACCCCCCCCCCCCCCCCCCACCGTTACTCTCGCCCTGGCTACATAACTTGTTGCCTCCGTTGTTGCACCCCTCGATGATCACGTCAAGGAGCATCGACCATCACGTGAACTCCGGTCATCCTCGCAGCAGCGGCGTGTGGCTGGCCATCGAACAAAGACGCGGTCACCGCTTCCAGATGCGCTTCTGCGGCCGTCTGGAACGCTCTCCCCTTCCGATATTAGGAAGCCACTGGAGCTACGTGCACTTTTACGTGATCTATATTGAAAGTTCATTTCTTAGCACGGTTGGCTTCGTACGGTGCGAGAGAGGTTCAGCCTACATACACACATCACAGTGCATTCATACGGACCACAACGGCATTGTGGAAACACTGAACGGACCATCCACCGCATGCATGGCAATGAACTGCTCTGAACTCGAAAAAAATCAACGGAGGCATTGAAGCAATCCACCGCACAACCGAAGCCATTTTTCTTGCTAAACTAATCTGGATACAGACTGAAACGTTGCTCTTCATCCAGCCAATGTATTTAATGTCATCATCGTATCGGTGGGGTTGCCGATAGCCGATTTTGATTTGTGTCCCAGAATCGTGCCGCTGCTAAATCTGCCCAACTCCTTTTGTTTATTGATTTTTTGTATTTTAAATTTTGCCCTGAACATGCTATTTGCTTGATAAGATTGCCTCGATATGCTTAAGGATTTTCGCACTATATGTATGACTTTGTAAAAATTCCAATGATTAATAATCATCATCATCATCAGCAGCAGCAGCTCTGGTCAGTCCACTGCTGAATGAAGGCCGACTTTAGGCGAAGCGATTTCTCGCGGTCCTGCAGTGAAACGATTCACCTCGAGCATCGATCTCCGCATGGGCCGATTTTCATTGCTACAACTAATAATGGAATGCGTTAAACAATAATAATTATAATCATTATTAGATGTCGGTGAAGATGACTTTGTGTAGTGTCCCATGTAAGTGCACCCAAAAGACAAAGATCCCCTGTGTAGCTTTCACAGACTGTTGGGTCAAGTGCTCTTAGCGAGCACCTATGAAGGCCGGAACGGCACACGAGGGGGTGGGTGGCCAGCACCACGCCCGGCCGCCTTTGTCTCCCCAGTGGCGATGTTTACACACCGCACCAGGTTTTCATTTGAGGCTGAGTCGACCTAGGGGAGACCCAGGGCCAGTTAAGATAATCGTCATTGGTTTGGCCGTGAGCGGGAATCGAACTCGGGTCTCCGGGTTTGTAGCGCAGCGTGCTAACCGCTACCCCCCCCCCCCCCCCGCAATCTGTGATGAGTTTGTCGACACTAGATTCTCAGCAGAGTTGTTTTTGGATCAGGTGACCAGCACTCAGCCGCAAGAGCCCTTGCATTGCCGTGCATTAACCAAACATCTGCAGGCATTGTCGCTTCCTCCAAGCGTCACTGAATGTATTCTTTCGTTTCGCGTTTGTTTTTGTTTCCAACAGCCAATTTGAATAAGTCGAAGAGCCTTGCCGAGGTGAGCAACGGGGCAGCGCTGATCTCTCTCTCTTAGCAGCCCTGAAACCGTTGGGTGAAAATTCCACATTCATATGGCCGGGAGACATCTATTTCCACATATTGGTACACGCGTAGCTTCGTGCTACAGACACTATCCGAGGTCACTTGTATTTTAATGATCACGGGTCATGTTCCGTCTACTACTGAATGAATCTCAATCGCCTTCCGATGGGTTTTCCGGTTGGACCGGGTTCGGTTGGCACAATGTCCGACGTTTTTAAATCCTTTATATTAAGTTTACTTGCTTGCTTGCGTGCTTTGGTGCTTGCTTGCTTATGACTGTGCAAATCTTTCGGTCGTTTTTTAACCCACTTCCCGTGATCCAATCGAGCTAACATTTTGCACACAGACTCGTTGTGCGTGACAATTAATTTTCGTGAAAAATTTTTTCCAAAATTTTACACTTTTTAGGAAGAAAAAAAATGCATATTTTATTTAAAATACCAATGTGATAAAAATTAAACTCTTACTCAAGAAAAACAGAAATGAATAATAAAATAAAACCGATGCCACGCAAATAAATGATTTATAGTGAAAAACTTTGTTTTTACGGGTGAATTTTTTGCTACTGCACCTTCTGGGAGCGAGTTTCTCGAGTGTCGGTTTTTAATGTGAGTTCCTGAAGAAGCTCCCAACACGCGCTGCTGCCACACGTGACACACACACCGCGCCGTACGACGCCCGTGTCAACACATCGGAGAGCTGCGCCGCACAAACGCAAAAAAAAAAAGCCTGGGCAAAGGAATGAAACTCAATGTTACCACAACAGATTATGGCTTCGAGTAACTACATTCCTATTAAGTTACCGTAAAATGTATATTTTTTTTATTGAGCTCAGTCAGTGCCACTCACGGCCGAGTGAAGAACAGTCACGGCTCCTCAGCGAATATGCAATTATCCCGTCAAAGTCCATCATATATCCTGCGCATGGTGATGGGAACACGGGCTGACAGTCTCGACTAAGAGAAGCCACCGATGATTATCGCTACCGGGGGAAAAATTGGTTCCCTTTGTGCAGGGATGTCAATGGTCGATGTTCTGCGTGAAATACAATTTGCCTATTTAATGCTTCTAAATGTAGGCTATGAATGGCTCTATTGTGAGAAGGCTTCTATAGCGGTCAGCGCAGACTGTTTGGAAAAAAAGTCGAATGCAATAAAATCTGCAATTATAAAGTTTCGAATGCAATTTAATTTCAAGCCTCTGGAATTTGCAAGGTGGCCTGGTACAAGGAGAGACGTTTATTGTGATTCGCATATTTGGTGTTCGTGCCATTCTTAGCGCAGATGAGTACAATGTTGACTCGGGAACAAAATTGCTTCGTGTTTTCACCCAATTAATTGCATATATATTGCTGTTTAATTTGGTAAATTTAGATCACTGGCTCTTAACCGAGGGGTGTATCACGCAGCCTGGGGGTGAGAGATGCCCTTTCTGTGGGTGCGAGAAATGCCGGATATTTTTCGAAGGTAAATCATCGAAAGACAAATTAAGCCCGGGCACGTAAATACAACTACTTTGTTTCACCAAACCTATGTATTTATTAACATTATACATCTTTTTTTTTAAAGATTGCGATCCAAACGGGCGCAAAGCTGCAGTAGAGGTTAAGAACCGCTGATTTAGACGATGACTCAGCAAACAGACAGCCGACTCCTTTTCAAATAACGCCACATGATCGTTAACATCCGTCGTGGAGCAGACGGCGCTTAGTCTATTCACGGTTAATACGGTCGCAGCATTAATCGGGGCGGCCTCTGGGCTCAGACCGAGAGCCTTCGCAACACGTGACCACTTAGCACCGGCTGCGTATAACACGCCAGAGCAATTTCCACCCATTTGTGAACGTTACTTAGATTCGTAAAGTTGTCACAATTGTTCATAGGATATGAACTGCCATACGCCGTTGTGGCAAATTCGGGAAAATAAATATTGTACACGAGTAGCAGGACCATTACTCGCATTCACGACGCAACTTGACTTCAACAATAAAATCATCCTGACACTGGTGACTGAATTATTCAGAGCTGCCTTCATGTTTTTGAACCACGTCTATAGCGGGGATTTCACGGAGAAATAGAAATAACAGAGACTGTATGTGAAGCGGGCAAGTGTTATCCATAATAGGTTTTTGTTGGGTTAGATCGCGTAAATATAAAGGTGCACTCTTCAAAGTGGATGGAGGACACACTTGCTTAAAGGTTTAAACAGTGTACAATTCAGCCCTTTGACCCCCCTCCCCGCACACCTTGCTTGTCTGGAGGGCTGTTTGACCATGCTTCACCGTGCTGGCCAATGCAGGTTCGTAAAGGTGGGCCGGTGCAGATGTGGGAACATAGATGTGCATTGCAACAACGTGTTTTGTTCCACGGCCCTCTTCGATCCACGGGGCCACAGCCCATCACGCCTGCCACGCGTGGTGGTCGCCCATCCAAGCACGAGGCGAGCTCAAAAATCCTGATTCGCTTCCGAGGTCTGACAAGATGTGGCGTTGACAAGGCGACTTGCTCAGAGGCAAAGCTATAACACGACGATGAAAATAGGCTCGCTTGTGATTTGGGCAAGAAAGTGAGCGGTTAAAGTAAGAGCAGAATAAAAAAAAACACGTAAGAAAGCCTCGTGGTAAAGCAGCACATTATTACGTTTGGTGTATGTGCAGCACATATTACTTGGGAGCGTTTAATTTAAACGAAGGCTCATTCACCGTCTGGCCAAAAACTTAAGTCGGCAAATGACCAAGGGTTGGCTTCTTTGCTTGCACAGGACGAGTGTTCAATGCCACTGCAAATATTATCGTTAACGCTTCCAGGCGCTGAGATCCGATACCCGGATTTTGGCTGTTAGTGGAAAGATTTCACACCGACCATTCAACGATATTAAAAGTATGTGTAATATATAAATGTGTAATACAATGACAATAATACAAATGTAATGGACTGCTAAACGAGGTTACGGGTTGTCACATTCGATTTAACTCCACGTTTGTCTGGAACATTATTCTTTTCCGTTGCGATGTGAATTTGATACGTGTAATGACTTTGAAAATTATAGTTGCCCAGTGTTGTCAAAACACGACTCCACATTTAGAGAAGACACGATTTCGATTTAAAGCTTTCGTAACTGCAGGGATTCATCTTTTTGGAACAGGGCTGTCGGAAAGACAGCGTCCGTCTCATTCGGACGCTGTCTTTCCGACAGCCCTGTTCTTCACCTGAGGACGGCTGCTTGCATTGTGGCCGAAACGTCGTGAAAATTGTATTTTATTATGTTTTATTATTATTTTATTATTTCCCTTCTACGTGACTTTACCGAAAGAACCAAGAAGAAGAAGACACGATGTTCTCTATTTTATTTCTTGATGGGAAAAAACCCAGTCTCTCAGTTTTGTACCGTACCGCATAACATTAACACTACATGTGTAACATCAGCGTTGATTCTTCATCAACACAGATTCTTCTCGTTCACGATAAATGCATCACATTTTGCGTGTCAGAATCGACGGGTTTTTTCCAATTCGTGTACGTTGTTTATATCGAATTGGTTCACATTTGGGATGGGCAGACAGATTCCAGCTCTGACTCCGATGCCCTGGAGGTGCAAGTGGAGTTTTTACAACTGGAGTGGAGCTGGGGTCACTCGCTCAGCTGGGGTCACTCGGTACACTCCAGAGTCCCGAACCGGAGCTGAGGTTGTGAAGGAGCCACTCCACGATTTCCTGCCTCCACGCAAGTTGTGAGCTTGGCAAGTGCGCAGAGATGAGTGGTGCAGATGGGCGAGTTGAGAGCGAGCAACTAGATTGATGAGTGCAGAGAGGGTGTGATTAGTCGTGAACTGTGGCAGGGTATGGACAAGATTGGTGCACGGTGATATTTGTAAGTGGTGAGTTATTAGGTTGGCGAATGAGTGGTGAGAGGGTCAGAGTAAGTGATGGGAGAGGGTGTGACGAGATTAGCGAGTGATGACAGGGTATTGACGAGATTGGCGAGTGGTGAGAAGATGCATGGGGTGAGATTTGTGAGTGCGGAGAGGGTAATTAAGATTGGCGAGCGAGTGGCGAGATGAAGTGATGAGATTGGTGAGTGCGAGCAGTGAGATTGGCAGTGGTGGGAGGGAGCAAACGAAGAGGTTCTTGGCTCGTGCGTGGTTGGTGATAAGGGGGCATGAGGACTGCAATTTGGGAGTCGTCAAATGGTATTAAAAATCTAATATATTCCCAGTAGCTCCACATGCAAAGGTCACATTTATATTTCCAATAATTTTTTTTGTTACATATTATCATATTTTCGTGCATATTGTTTTTCAGACATTTAATGGCGTGAATCATTTTGTTTTAATTAAATGGTTACGTTGGTCAGGTCAAAGGAGCATTAATAAGAAAAACTGTTGGAATGATCTGGAACATTCATATAATCGTTTTTTAAGAACATTGGGGGAGACATTGTAAACCTATGGGCAGATGCTGACTGCTCGAGGTGTAAGAATTAAATAATTCCGTAACTTTAAGTTATTGTATAATTTTTTCACAGTCAATGCATTGCCTTGGGATGAGACCTGCACTTGGCCCACAACAGTGATAGCATAAAATTAGAAATTACGCAGGAGCTGCCGCGCATTTTCCGAACGCTGTTTGAAGGCTGCTCAATCAATATTACCTTTCAAATAAAACAAGGAAGAAATCTCATGCATATGAATGTATTCTTAAACACTTTCCCAAGTGGGTTGGTTCTCAGAAATGTTGAATTAGCAGGATGGAAGCCAACGGGCCTGCTGTCAGGGCAAAATGCATTTTGACATTTGCAAATACATGTTATCCTTGGTACTCTGGGCTGCCTGCACGTTTTGGGCAAACCTACCATCAAATGACCAGTTTACTATTGGGCAAGTCCCTAAGAGCAACACAACTTTAGGGTAATTTTAGTTTATAATTGAACTTCATGAGCGTGATTGTGCGCCACTAACAGATGGGCAATAATACAAAAAAAAACATTTTATTAAATATACACATGAATGTTTACAACAATGTTTACATTAAGATTATCAACATTTAGGAATATACGTACATTACAGTATACAGTTTGCATATTTACAAGTGCAGTTTAAGACATTTTGATATGATGATAAAATACTTGTGAATGTTGCATAAGGCAAGATTCTCGAAATGGTGGCCTGTGGGCTGGCCCAGCGAGAGATTTCGCTCACCAAGACAAAGTTACATTTCAAGTTAATTTTGTTCACCAGGTGAGGACTCGAAGAGAGTAATCAGGATAGTCTCAATTGCAAGAGTAACCTGGAACAGTGTTCCAGAAGAGTGCAACGATTGTTACGTACAATCCCAATTGAACGATCTGCAGGTTATTGACATAATGACCCGACTCTTGCGCATGACGTCGGGGGATCTCTCTAACGTCCACTGCGAAGCTGACGGAGTAAAGCGATATTACGGTAATGACACCCACAGTTACACTGGTAGGAACCTCCTGGTTACACCAGCCCACAGGGGATTATTCTGTCCGTCCTGCATCCAAAAATGGGAGGGGTGGGGCTGGGTGGAGAGGGAGGGGCTGGGTGGGGAGGGTGGGGAGGGGCTGGGTGGGGAGGGTGGGGCTGGGTGGGGAGGGTGGGGAGAAGGCTGGGTGGGGAGGGGAGGGTGGGAAGGGGCTGGGTGGGGAGGGTGGGTGGGGAGGGGCTGGGTGGGGGTGGGGCTGGGTGGGGGGTGGGAGGGGTGGGGCTGGGTGGGGAGGGGCTGGTCACCCCGTGGTGCCCTTATAAAACTCAACGTTTAACCTACTCACGCCGGCTTGTGCCCGCCCTCACAGTCGGGCATATTTGCGGAATACACCACGCCGCCGTTGACCCTGGCCAGTGACCGAGCAACCCAACGTTCCTACCAGCTCCCTCCGCAGGAATGTGTTTATCAGGGCAGCCACTGGAACCGAGCCGCGAACTTCTGCAAGAAGTGGCGAGAAACATGCTACCGCGTGGCAATGTCATGCAGATTAGCGAGTGAGATGAAATACAGATGAGTTAGATGAAGGAGATAAACGAGAGATAAGAGACAATAGAGTTGTAGACAAGAAATGAAGATGAAATGAAAGCGAGATAAACGAGTGAGCCGAGTCCTGGCGATAAGACACAGATTAGAAGTCACACATACGGATGTCAGTCCATCAAGATACTGTACGATGTCATGCCTGTGCGAGACATTGCCAGCACACGCGTATTTGATTAAGTGGCCCACAAAAAAACATAGCCGAAGAACACTCCTGTAAGGAAATGACAAACGTCATACCGTGCAATCAATGTAAGACACAAAGCCCCATCAGTGCTAACAAATCAGTGTCGGAGAATGTTATTTTTTCAAAATTGCACGGAACATTATTTTCCATGAACAGAGTTTTACACACATCCCTCAAAGGACAAAAGGGGGTCTCTTTAAGCCTGACAGTGTATGGAGCTTGCACCTCAACATTGCATTATCTCAAATTTATATCTTCTCAAATGTGGGGTGAAATTTCCAGCACCCAGAGCGCGTGAATTCACCGCTTGGAAACCAATGGCCACATACGAGTGTGAGAGCAACAGCAATGTAACACCACGCTGCTCTCTAGTGGAACAATTTTACACTGCAGATACTGTGCACATGCACGTACTGGGGTCTGATGATGGATCCTATCCACTTAAATTCTGGTGCAAATTACTACTGGTGACAGGATTGCATTCCTTGCAGTGCGTGTAGGTAGGCCTTTATAAGAACAAAAATACACAAATTTTGACGACAAAATCGTGTATTCGTATATACTAAACTATACTAAATGACAAACCATTATTACCTTGTTGACAGGATTTGTAAAATATTATTTTTTATGAATTCAAAGCATATCTCTAACTATCCTAAAGTAATGCACAATTGCCCCTCGTTTTTTTTGTCGAGGTTTTGTCAACACTAATGCAGTGCAGTTCCCTTTTAAGAGGTCTAACCTGCACCCTCTTCAAGTGGCAAATCCCCACTCTCTCAATCTGCCAGATCTGCACTCTACTCACTGTACAAGAAACTAAACTCACACAGAAACACCCAGTCCTTCACACACAACACACCGGTCAGGGAACGTTAGCAAAAATAGTTGAACTCACAATCTAAAACTTGCTTTAATTGTACTGCATTATAATTCGGAAATGTTATACTTACAATAACACAGCAACGTGCAGTGACTGCACAACTGCACGGAGTTGCTGGCTACGCTCATACATATCTCCTCTCACTAATCTGTATTACATGGCCTAGAGGTAGCACTTTCACGCACATTGATTTTAAATAAATCCCGCTAAGTGGTGAAAGGACCACAATGACAAATTATACACTGGTCAACACACTTTTTCTGGCATAAGGTATTCCCAACGCTTTTAATGTAATTTTGGGGTGCTGATTCCAAATCTGGCATCAGTTTTTGTCTATCACATCAGATTTTTGAGATATCAAATATTGCATTTTCAATAAAAACTGCAGAAGAAAAATATTAAATAAATGTGGATATCTACATAAAATTATATTATAAACACACTATCCTAAAAATACAGCACCATTTTTTAACACTAAAGCAGTCACTGACTCACAACAACTTTCAATCATAAGTGACAGAGTTAATTTCGGGTAAAATCAATGAAAATGGGGTATGCCGATAGCATAAAAATGATGTGATAGAGCAAATCTGAGATCAGATTTGGAATCAGCACCCTGAAATTAGTTTAAAACAGCTGCAAAAGTCCAGGCCAGAATTTTTTTTTGTTGACCAGTGTTATGAATATCAATGCCAACATTATGTTTGCAAGTATGAGTGGTGAGGCTTTTTCCCCATTTGAAGACAAGCAATTATCAATTCATAGCCATTTTACAAATAAATTGTGTGGCTTGTCTTGTTCATCTCATGCATATTTGTCTACTTGCAGTGTGAATGTCCATCAGAGGGCAGTGGCATTATCATGTGTTGCTTCTACCTCTCACAAGCGTAAGACCCGGTGTCTCGCATTGCACAACGGGCAGCCACCACTGCAGCAGCCACAGTACCAATGTTGAACCATCAGGAGGTGTGAGAGAGCAGAGCCATTGCTGGAGAGAGCCCCTCAGAGAGCTCGTAGGGCAGGGACAGGAGACTCTTCACCAGCCCACTTGTCAGCTGTAACAGCCTGCAATACAAACAGGACAAGGCCTATACTTTTAGTTTTTTTCGGTAAAGTCACGTCAGTAAAAAATTATAATAAAATAAATCACAACGCCTCTTTGCACTTTGAAAAATTGTGATGAAAAAAATACAACAATGATGTCTTAAAATAATATTCTAACTCAAGAAACAACGGTGTGGAAGATGGCAACTTCACGCAACCCGCTCGGCTGAGTGAGAAATCGCAACAGATGCCACAGACGCGGCGACCCAACATCGATCATCGATCTCCCCGGGTCTCCAGAGCAACAACTCAAGAAACGAGTAGTGCAAGGATAAGACAAGAATAAAAAAAAAATCCCCCCCCAAAACAGAAGTACCGTACGCTTTTTAGCACAGTATAAGCATCCCTTAAGAGTCGGCTAAATTGTTGAATGGATTGGCCGATTGTGATTCCTCACTAGAGATGACTTATCAACTATCAGCAGGTAGATGAAGGCGTTAAACACGTGCACTTCCTTTCCAAGATCCCTCCCAAGCTCGGTGAACATCCTTTGGGCTGGGCCACACAGGCACAATGACAGAGCAAGGCCTCCTAGCCTCTACTGAATCGGCCATTCATGAGCAACCGGCTTGCAAAACAGCAGCAACAAACAGCAGAGTTTATGATCGACGGAATGTTCAACATTTTGAGAGTACAACAAAGTTACATTCAGGAAAGCCAAGTGTGGAAGCGTATGCCGAGACGGCGCTCAGTAACACCCACCCTCTGGCGCCAACCCCTGGGGATCATTCTGGCACGGCTCCCAAGCGAGCCCCCCCTTGCCATCCCCAAGTCTCAACAGCATCGGTGGAATCTGACGCAGCCGTGTGGCCCTGAGCTCGACCCGGGCGCTCGGCCTCCGCCACACACGAGGTTCTCCAGCAGAGAGCACCTGGTGTGCACGGCCATTCGTGTGCCATTTAATTGAGGGGCTCCTGCTGTGTGGTGTGATCTTGGTGTGGCCTGGGACCGTTTTGTTGTTGTTTTTGCTGCCTTGCCCAATCTTGATAAATCGGACTTGTATAAATAAATAATTTATTAAATCTTTTATAAAAATGTGGTACTTTGTTCGTGTAATGAATGTATGTATTATTCATTTAGATTTAGTTAATTGCTTATGTTTTGATTTAAAGCTTTCGTGACTGCAAGGATTCATATTTTTGGTTCTTTCGGTAAAGTCACGTAGAAGAGAAACAATATAATAATAAAAATATAAAACAATAAAATTCTCACGTTTCGATTGCAACACAAGCAACCACCTGCTGATGATTGCTTGTGTTGCAATCGAAACGTCGTGAGAATTTTATTGTTTATTATTTTTATTATTTAGTTTCCCTTCTACGTGACTTTACCGAAAGAACCAAGAATATGCTTATCATGTTCTCTATTGTGCACTCCTGTATTGTTTGTTGTTGTAACCTGATGACTTGCCCATACTGGACACCTGTGAAAAGTAGCTTCATAGCTCATCGCATTCCTCCCCGAGTCTAAATCAAGATTCTGATCCCCGATCCGAACACTCACTCTTGCGCAGAAAAGTTCAACCGTTTCACCTTAACAGCGCGACGTACCATTTGGCGTGGTGGTCTGGGAGCGTCGGTGGTGGGCCTTCCCCGGGCTCCTCCACACTGAGGCAGGCTTTAATTCTGGGGAAGCGAGCTTCCACGTCTCTCCTGTAGGCAGCCAGGAGGGCGACGTCTCCCATCTGGTGCATCGCTCGCTGAAAAGCACGGACACATTTATTGATCATTCCGTACTGTTATTTTTATATATATCAATTTATGTGAACTATAAAATGCAGCCATGCGTATCGGTAGCACATGCACGTGCGTGGAGTTGATGTAAAATGCCTGACCTAAATGCTTGGATTTTAAACAGCATGCATAGATGTTTCACTTCTTTCGCACCATACGTAGCCAACCGTGCTCATCGGAGGTTTGAAGAACAAACTAAACACAAAATGCCATTCTAAAGAAATGCATTTTCAATCCAAATTTCAAAGTACACAGCTCCAGTGGCTTCCTAATATCGGAAGAGCGTTCCAGACGGCCGCAAAAGCGGATCTGGAATCGCGCGATGCAGTAACCGTCTTCGGTCAATGGTTCGCCAAAACCCGCTGCTGTGAGGATGACTGGAGTTCGAAGGATGGTGTATGCTCCTTCTACGAGATCAGCAATGTATTGAGGTTCATTTGTGGCAAGCACTTTGTGTGTAATGAGTGCTACCTTACAACGTATTTCCCTACTGATCTGAATAGCTACTCCAAGATAAATGAAGGAATGCAATGTGCTGTGCAGAAGGCATGTACGCATGCACCCCCTCACTCCCCCCAGAGATTTGATGAATTGTCCCACTTTAAAACGATTCAAAACTCATTTCTGTTTGCTATTCTGGTGCATGAAAAATCTCTCGTGAACCGAGCGCATAAAACATTTACAAATATAAATAATCAATTATTATGCACACAATCTTATAAATGTTTGGTCAACATAAGTATTGGTTTTATTCAATTGTTCCATGTCTTTTTTGTGCATACAGACGAATATATTTATATTTCTTTTAAAAACGAGACCATTTCAACCTCATTAAACCACAACCCTGTAAAATGTAGGGAGTTACTTTTCATACTTACATAGAGAACGGCGATGCGATGTGCGATATATTTATGCCTATTGAGTTGATATACATCGCCTTGCAACTGCTGACTAAGAACCAGTATCTGATTTAGTCTGCACACGTTTTCAAAGTAATCTGAAAAAATATTTTTTACATAACACCATCAGTTAATCGTGGAGATTTTGAAGCTTCATGAAAAAAAGATGCGCAACTGAAGAGGTCCAGTAAAACCTTGGATTGCGAGCATAATTCGTTCCGGGAACGTGTTTGTAATCCAAAGAACTCGTATATCAAAGCACTTGTATATCAGTTGTGATCACGTGACGCTCGGCAGACAAAACGTATATACGTACTACTCGTATTGCAAGACCTCGCTCGTTTATCAAATTTATACTTATTTTAAAAATTTGCTCGTCTTGCAAAACACTCGCAGACTAAGTTACTCGCAATCAAAGGTTTTACTGTACTATGATGTAGACTATAACACAAAGTGCCTTGAGTCTGTTGGGTGGTTAAGGCAGCGCCGCTGAAATTGGAATCCGGTTTCGAATCCAGGCGACCACTCAGAATGACACTAGATTCTCAAGTGTAGCAAATCAAAAGGTCTTATAACCCGATCTCACCAATGATTGCACGCAACAAAACACATCATAAAGCAATGCCTATATAACATTTACCATTACATTTGTAAAAAAAATTATTTGGGTCTTTCGGTAAAGTCACGTAGATAGAAAAAAATAACAAAATAATAAAAATAACGTGAATGAAAAATAAAAGTTTTTTGTGTTTCATTCACTTTATTTTTTCAATTTTATTATTTAGTTGTTGTTATTTTTTCTATCTACGTGACTTTACCGAAAGACCCAAAGAACATGAATTCCTGCAGTCACGAAAGCTCTAAGTCAAGATTTGTGAAAAAAAGACTACAAAATCCTCACATATAAATTGCTCAAAATGCAATACAGTGCAAGATCATTAATTTTCAACCTTAAGCACAGTTTAACGCGTAGGATCAATCATCAAGCATCTCGAGCAGCACATCAAAGAATATGGAACACCACACACTGGAAAATGATGTGCAAGCATTGCACATGATGCCAAGAGATATGCCGCAAAACTGACAGCTGGCCAAAAATGCTGTGTTCCCTCATAAATGGTTCACAAAGTGCGGTTAAGTCTAGGTTACCCATGGGCACATTACACAAGTTGCAAATTAACTGTGCTTGCAGAAACGTATATAACTTCATTTTTGCGCCATTGGAACCACATTTGCCAGTAAAAAAAATGCTAATTGGTTTTTTACCCTTTTATCTGGCAACAAAACTGACACCTTTTTTTACAAGGAGTCATGCTTGCATAGACCACAATACCTGCAGTCATAATGCAAACAAAAAACATAACTCCACACCCAAGACAATCAACTTCAAGGACAGTGCATACATTATCAGAGTTATGTTTTTTGTTTGCATTATGACTGCAGGTATTGTGGTCTATGCAAACATGACTCCTTGTGAAAAAGGTGTCACTTTTGTTGCCAGATAAAAGGTTAAAAAACAATTATCATTTCATTCTTGCGCTTATTAATTCGATGCTTCTCACTCCTCGGGGGCCTGTGACTCAGTTTCCACGTGAGCACAAACGCTTCAAGTAAGCCCATCACAATAAAATCAGACACCACGTCCTGTCTTCTCCCTCCCTTCTACGTATGTAAACAATTAAGATATGTGTATAGCTTAAATTACTTATGTTTCTGGGTCATCCCACCCATTATGTTATCTACCTCAAATGGTATACAGGAGGCCGTGGGTTCGATCCTGACCCTGATGTCTGTATATTTGGAATTTGTATGTCTATCTGCCTGTGACCACATGGATTTTTCTCCGGGTCCTCCGGTTTTTCCCTCCGCACTTAGAATCAATATGCGTCTAGAATATCTGCCTGCTATACATTTGCATTAGAAGCCAATTCGTTGAGCTATCATTTTTGGGCAGGTCGCTTCTGAAAAACAGCTATATAATAGCTCAGTGGACCTTGCCTGGTAAAATAAAAATCGTAAAAAATAGACTAAATTAACCCAGATAATCTGAGAATTGACTGTAACTAAACTTAAAAGCGGGCATGACCGATTCAAGCCAACGTTCGAAATGTTGCAGTTTGCACCGTCAAGTGGAGGCTGCTCCAGCATGTCTACAGGCCGGCCGTGGATGATGTAAACCTCCACTCGGGGGAAGAAGAGCGAGAGACCACGGCTGTCCAGATAATCCTGAAATTACAAGTGCCAAAATGTCACTCTTCTCAAACACAAGGCATTAAATGGAAAAGGCAAGGACAATAACGCTGCAATGTAAAAAAATGTTAATTGATAACGACTTTTTAAAGATAAAATATGACCTGTAGTTATGAATTAACAAACTGAACGGAAGACACTTGGTGGGCATTAATCGCTCCCCCGTCTTGTGCTGTGTTATGCTAGCACACAGATGCCACCAGACACACACACAGCTTAGTCGCGCTAACCTTTAGACAGTCATGAGAATAATAGTTTTGATGTTATGCGTATCCTATGTGGGAAAAAAGTTTGGAAAACTTAAGATAAATTAGACAGCTGGAAGAAGGCAATGTGAATTTTAATCTCCAAATTAAATCTCCCTTGATCTCAACCACAAACATAAGTTATTATTTATCCTATTGATTATACAATTTCTATTTAAATAAAGCCCACTAATTTTAAGAAAGGGGTACATTGTAAACCCATGAAATGGCAATGTAAACAGCTCCATCTCCTGGAATTGTACTTATACTGATGTTACATTTCTTAACACCATTTTAACAGCCATAAAAAGATGAACATATTACCTCAAGCTCAGGAACCGGTGGAGGCAGATGCTGTAGTGTCCTTGTTATTTTTTCTAAAACATCCGCAGCTAGATAACAGGTAAAATAAGTGTTTCAATGGAACATACCTAATGACATAACAAATGGCACAATTTGTTAGCACTATGCAACTATGTGACGTCTTCGATTTAAGAATTATTGATTCTGAAAACTCACGTTACGGTACATGCATCAAATCACGTGTAAGAATGTATGATAAGTATATGCTAATGCTACAAATACGAGAAATAACATGAAACAGTAAAATGTTCAAGAAGAAAAGGAAACACATTTTTTTTAAATAAATAATTATTCAAAACCATAACAATTCATAGAATTGCCAGACGCGTGAAAAATGTTAATGCCCAAAAAAATGGGGACTCAATGCACTCACCCTCCGCTTGAAAAGCATCTGACTCTATAGGGCTGGTTTCCAATGACGATTGCTGTTGTTGCAGCTATGAACGGACATCAACCAATGAAACACTTATTATTCTTGGGTACACGTACCCCCCCCCCCCCCCAAGGGTCGCATTAAATTACTAACAAATGTTTACCAAGTGTACAGGGTTAATAAACATAGCAGACCTCGGTGCGGATGAGGAGGTCAAGGTTGAAGCAAAGTGCAAGAATACGTTGGGACACTTCATTTTCGTCCAGATACTTGACAGAGCACGGCTCCTGAATGCACACCTCCACTAAACAAGGGCAGAACACGGGCAGTCAGAAGTAGTACATAGCCATCATTCACTCACTCACGACATTAGATCGGCCTGTCACCCACCACGTTCATGGACTGTTCTAAGCGTCTTTTATACTCAATTCAGCTTCGCAAACAACCAAACGCGGACGCTTAAGCACGCAACTTTACACACACTGCCTTAGGCACCTTGCTAATCGTGACAGAATCACCGTGACCTCATCACATCTCAGAAGGAAAGCGGCTAAGCTCCGTTACTGTAAAACGTGTATGGGAGGGTAAATCTCCGGGATTACTCCAGAATCTTCACACAATGCCACACACTTTCACTCATGGAACTGGGCAAATATCCAAATACATGAACCTCCTGAAAAAAAACAACACAAAATCAGACTCAGTGAGCCTAATCTGGCCATCATTATGATGCCATAAAAAGTCCCGTCCAACAATCAAACAACGAGGGTAATTGCCAAGTGCGGTTCAATCAGCAGCAACTGAGATGGCATCAAACACAAAGTGGAACAAACGCATCACCATGTGTCGCACTCAGCGATGGTTTCGGGACGGGGGCAAGCGGGGGGGGGGAGACGTTGAATTGCGACCGGCCGACCGGCCGAGGGGTTCACCTTGACAATGAGCGTCGTAGGTGTGAGGCACTCTGAGTGGGTCGCTCCTGGCGATTGCAGTCATGGCGAGGTGAAGCTCAAAGCAGCGACAACAACAACAAGTCTAGGCGATCAACCATTGCCCGCAGAGCTTGCGGGATACCTGCCCTCTCCCCCCGGTAGGGCGGTGGAGGAGATAATAGCTTGGCTATTGGCGACGGTGAGGACGCGTCTCTTAAATGTTGATTTCTACGCTGAAACGGCAGGAGAATCGAAGTGTAAGAACCCACGCTTGGCCATTCGCACGTTGCTTGTTAAAGATTCAACACCGCCCCCCTCTCTCCTCTACCCGCACCCCGACTGGAGCCACGAGAGGCAGCTACATTCACCGCGGCGTAAATGATTATTATTGCACTGAATTATTATTATTATTGCACTGAAACGTGACGCTCCGTTCGCGACAATGTATCGATTTGCACAGCGCGGCGATCAGAATAGACACAGGCCTAGCATCCTAGACAAGGCCTGCGGGGATTTTAAGCGATTATACTGCGCCACGTTAAGAATTGCAGGCAAAATACCCCAAAGGTGAGAAATAAACAATGCGTGCAGAACGCGAACGTGGCGAAGCGTGCGATTTACCCGTAATTAGGACGAACTTTAAGCAATTGAACGCATTCCACCATCGGCCTTGCGCGTTACCGTGGCAACCCCACGCGGGGGGAGGGGGGGCGCTGGCTCTGTCCAATGAGGAGGCCCGGTGAAGGTCACGTGGGCCGGGTCCTCTGTCGTCATGGCAACTCGAAAAGTGACGACCCCACGTGACCCTTGCTCGACCAATTACGCGGCGAGTCCATTTCGGGTCGTCGCGTTTGGGAAACGATTTCTATCCATGGGACGTTCTTCTTGTTCGCCGGTATCAAATAATGAAGAAAAGTATAACAATTGTCCCTTTCTGGCAATAAAACACTTCTTAATATGTTCAAACACCAAATAGGTACCCTTTGTAAGGCACCAAGTACTGCAGGCTTCTTCATGGCCTCGTCTCGCCACCAGTGCCACACCAGAGAACGCCTAAAGGCAGTAACAAAGACAATGCAAGTTGGAACATAGTTAATTACGTCCTCGGGTTGGCAGTCTTAAAATGATGAGAAAGCCTTTGCTTACGTATTTTTTAAATCCGGCAATGTTTCATTAAAAAACTACTTAAGTTACAAATTATAATTTAAAGCTTTCGTGACTTCCGGGATTAATATCTTGGTTCTTTCGGTAACGTCACGTAGAAGGGAAATAAAAAAATATATAAAAGAATAAAAAATACTTAGGTTACAGTCCACCAAAGTCTCAAAGCAACTCAGTGTTTTTTGGGTCAAAGAAAATAGCAAAATAACTAAAAACTACGATGACGACTGCGTGTGTTGCGATGTAAACGTCGTAGTTTTTTGTTACTTTCTTTCAGCCTATCTACGTGACTTTACCGAAAGACCCAAAGAATATTAATTCCTACAGCCACGAAAGCTTTAAGTCAAGCAATTCAATGATTAACCCGACCGAGAACACGATCTTAAACCACTGCGCCCTGGATGCACCACTACAACAGAACAGTCTTCACTTTATTAGATCACAAAGCTCTCGAGAGAGCTTGAAAAAATTGCCGACACTGACTATATTGCAAGTCAGCGTGGCGGGGTATTGGGAAAAGTTTTCAATTAGCAATAATCGCGCCTCGGATAAACCTCATTGGCTACGATACTGCCACTGCGCAAAGCTGGTTTGTAACGCCCGACCGCTCCCCTCTTAAGCGACGCGGTCGTGCCTTAACGCTATGGGGTCAGTCGCGAATGCAAAAATAAACATCTATAAAAAAACATTTCACTTGCTTACATAGTACACTAAAGATTTTGAGTTGATATATTTCGACACTGAATGAAAAACCGTCGTCAATTACTCGACTAATTTGATGTGATTATGTCCCGTACCTCTTCTGAAAGGTCGCCGCTAGACAGGCGGGAGGTGATGGTTGGGGCTGCTTTAGTGACTCAATCGGCACGTTACAAAGGGGTGTTCGCTTTCCTGTTTGTTTAGAAAGGTCTGCGGGTAATAAAGCCGTGGCAGTGTTGAAGAATGTCGTTTGTTCGCAGCAAAAAAATGTAAGTAGATGTTATCGTCCCAACACTACTTAAAACCAAGAAGTTGCACCGTGGCTGTATGTTGCTCATGAGCAAAAATATAAAACTTTATTTTTTCACACGTCACCTATAGCCCACACGCCAGCAGTGATGTTTAGAGTTACGGACTCATACTTTACCCCACCAATCGGATATTGTCCGCCCGGCAAATGCGCATTGCCGTGTACAAACGATGCGTTTGTGTTTCGGCTGTAGGTTAACATCGTTGCTGTACCAAGTGTCCCAAATGTTGCTGTACCCAATGCAATCCGGTAGGTGGCGGAGCGAATACATGCCTCCCAGAAGCCATTGGACCAATGGCCTCGTATACAATTGCAAGTTCCTTGCAAGTAATATAATTGAACACCTATAGTTTTAATTTCCGAGTGGATATATATGCACCGAAATAGTTTCTGTATTAAAGTACTCATTCAAATTGCATGTGCATTATTTACGTGTTTAATTTAGCATTCGAGTGACCCCATAGCGTTGAGGTATAGCCATGTCGCTTAAGAGCGGAGCGGTCGGGGTTTACAAACCAGCTTTGCGCAGTGGCAGTATCGTAGCCAATGAGGTTTATCCGAGGCGCGATTATTGCTAATTGAAAACTTTTCCCAATACCCCGCCACGCTGACTTGCAATATAGTCAGTGTCGGCAATTTTTGCAAGCTCCTTCGGGAGCTTTATTTTCTTAACAAAGTACAGAAATAAGTCTGGATTTGAAGCTTTCGTGACTGCAAGGATTCGTACTCTTAGGTTTTTTCGGGAAAGTCACGTCGGTAAAAAATAAAATCAAAAGTAATAATGGAAATAAAATAATAAATCACGACGTTTCGGAGGCAACACAAGTTCTCTATAATCAGGTGGGACCGTCACAGCTAAACCGTGATGATGGGTACAAACTGAGTAATCATTGGAAATATGTTATTAACCATGTAAAAAAGATTTAACTACACATATTTGTACCATCTTATTTGACAGGTACTTTTCTACTTTACCGAGTGTGGACATCCCCAGCGTTTAACAATACTGCTTTTTGGGATTCTCAACCAACATCGGTTTAGGTCGAGGTACACCGATTGTTTTCTTGCACATGACGACGTTGACCAATTTCTCTTGTAGCCCCGCCCACCACCCCCACGTTCCATTTCTTGGTTACCACATTCAGATAAGCCCCTCCCCCCCTAACTTGTATTTAAGGGCTGGTCTTTTGGAATTTTCCTCACTTGATGCAGTAATTTTAGCTGTGACGGTCCCATCTGATGACGGAGACTTGTGTTGCCTCCGAAACGTCGTGATTTATTATTTTATTTTATTTCCATTATTACGTTTATTAACTTTCAATTTTATTTTTTACCTACGTGACTTTACCGAAAAAACCTAAGAGTACAGAATTAAGGTTGCTTTCTTAACTCGATAACCGCCCCAAGTGATTATCGATTAAAATGTCGCGCGTTTATGGGGCTCACCGAACGTAATAACATCTGGCGGTTCTGGCCAGCGTCGCGGAGGAAGCCAAAGTACAAAACAGATTTGAGACGGCAGCGGCGTGAGCAAATGATAAGCGGCGTTGTACGAAGGGGCCGTCCATAAATGACGTCACGCCATGTATGATTTTTTACCCCCCACCCCCCTTCGCCACACGGCGTCACAAAAAGTCAAACCCCCCTCAAATATGACGTCACAAAGCTCTGCCCCCCCTCCCCCCCACAAAATAAAACATGCTTCAAATCGCTTTAAACTAGTGTCATTGTTATTTAAAAAGTATATTAAGTAGAACGTGTTTATATTTATTTAAAGTTGCGCATTTTGATGTGACGTCACAGTTCTCCCCCCCCCCCCCTCGTCACACATCGTCACAAATGTCTGACCCCCCCCCCCCAGGTGCGTGACGTCATTTATGGACGGCCCCTAAGCTTTACTACATCTTCTGGCGTATTACGTGTGCTAAGGTAAAATTCAATTTCGAGGTTCGTTTAGCCACAGACGTTACAACTCCTTAACTCCCCGCTGCGGTGTTATACAAAACAAACTCAACGCTTTCGTCAATAATGTTGTGGGCAACCATCTTTTTCGATTTAAAGCTTTCGTGACTGCAGGGATTCATCTTCTTGGTTCTTTCGGTAAAGTCACGTAGAAGGGAAGTAATAAAATAATAAAAATTAAACATAATACAAATAATTCTCACCATGTTTCGGCCACAACGCAAGCAGCCCTTCCCCCCTTCCAACCCAGCTTAAATAGACGCTCCAAGCGTGGTGGTGTTTCATTCAGACGCTGTCTCCCCGACAGACCTGGTCTTCACCTGAGGACGGCTGCTTGCGTTGTGGCCGAAACGTCGTGAGAATTATTTTTATTATGTTTTATTTTTGTTATTTTATTACGTTCCTTCTACGTGACTTTACCGAAAGAACCAAGAAGAACCATCTTCCTTGTTAAGCAGACACGCCTTTGGAGTCACGTGGGTCATTCCAATTACGTCACCAAGGCCCAATCGTCACATCCTGTCCAGCAACCACATGCGGGAAGACGTACGCAAATTGTCAGCACAGTTTCTCATCAAATTAGAATAGTAAATGGATTATGGTTCACATACAAATATTATAATATATACAATTAAATCGTACGTGTAGCATTTCAGCAAGTATAATTGTTTTTTTACAGACGTTTCGTTACGCATTCGACTGGACCCATGGCGTTAAGGCAGAGACGCGTCACTTAAGAGGGACCGGTCGGGGCTGTAACAAACCAGCTTTGCGCAGTGGCAGTATCGTAGCCAATGAGGTTTATCCGAGGCGCGATTATTGCTAATTGAAAACTTTTCCCAATACCCCGCCACGCTGACTTGCAATATAGTCAGTGTCGGCAATTTTTTCAAGCTCTCTCGAGAGCTTTGTTTCTAACAAAAAAGAGAATGCGGTTCTAGCGTGGCGAAATAGTCTTGCAATCAACCAGGTATTCTCACACGATCTGACAACAGACGCGGTGGGCTAAATCAATGTGGTACCTGCGATGTTTACTAGTTTTCATCATCGAATTGCTATCACAATCTCTCCGGCTCAAATCTCACTCCGGTGCAGCAGTTGAAACAGTCGAATGCGCCGTGGGGTTAAATCCGCTCCGACTCGTTCCATCCCGAGCAGGCATTTCATCGCTTCACTGATGCGAGTCTCATTATTTTAAGAGTGCCTGGCTACATTGGGATGTTTGGCCAAGTACATTAATTAGGTTCCGGCATGATGCGTGGGATAACAGTGCAATCTTACTGGACACCTGTGAAAAAGTGCTTTTTCGCTCATCGGATTCCTCAAATATATACTTTGTTAACCAGAAGAAAACCCTCCACCTATACACAAGGGAGGCAATTCACCACTCATCTACTGGCCACCACGAAGCCTCACATATGCAGTACACCCATGTACGTGCTAACCTGGCTCAATGCAGGTTAGCTTCTGCCATTTGACAGGATCGGGTATAAGTTTAGGATCATCTGGTTATATGCTACATGTTGGCTTCTGCTATGGGCAAAGGCACTGTTGTTGTAATGAGGTTACACCGTTGCAAATGCATTTGAAGGCAACAACGATCAGGAAGGAATAAATTGTCTTAAAGTCACATGGAACCTGTATTTTTATTACATCCGACTCATCCTGGATTAAACAAGAGGCAATTCAGCAATACAGAAATGACATTGACAACACACGTCTTGTTAGCAGAATTACCAGGACACACGTAAAACAAGACACGACATTCTTGGACACATTTACAGTGACAATCAGTAGTACAGTGATGCGAAATGAAGAAATCATATCTGCAAACGTTATTCTTAGGCATAAAAAACATTTACAACATATTACTTTGTTTTAAAATCTTTTCAAAGTAGGTCACTGCATAAGAAACAATCCACATGGATCCGCAAACGATAATTGCCTAAACGTTATATTTGCAAGCCAATACATATTTACGTTTAAATCATCTGCTGTTAGGATTGGTGAACAGTGAAATGTTAGAAATTAAAGTTAAATTTCACAAAGTCGAGCACAGCACTATCACTCAAAGCAATGTGAATGTGTAGGATACTCAAGATTTCATTACGTAGAGCGGTATAATGTCGCATCTTGGACTCGATGGGGCCTGACGTTTCGGCGGATATTTTAACGTCAGATATGTGAACATGTAGAGAAACTAACAGTTCTGCCACGTACAATTAGTGCACAGGGCTGTTGACGATTCATTTGGTCAGGGTGCGTATGCGACGTTGTATTCAATTAGGTGATGCGTTACGTGCCACTACGCTATGCAAATACTGGCAAGGGTTGTTGCGCTTAATGGCCCGGAATGCTTCGGAGCGCTTTTTCTACCGAGCGACCCGTGAGCGCACAGCTCACCACAGGGCACAGGGCGCTTTCACGGAGCTGCCTCGCTGAGCACGAGGTGGACAGTGTCAAGATCGTTTCAAGATCTGATTTGTAGAGAATGACCGCCGTCTTGAAACAAACTGAAATGCCCGCCGAACGCTCAGGGACCGTCCATCAGCGTGCTTGGCTACATAACGGTACGAAAGAAGTTCAACATCGGTACACAGGAGCTGACTTCCACCTGGAAGCGCCAAGACAGAGTGCTCTGCCCAGTGAAAGCACACCTTTGGTGTTAATCAGTTTAAGCCGTGTATGGCTACACACACGAAACAGTGCAGTATTGCAATGCCACGCAAATACACAAACGTGTTTCCCCCAAAGCCACTGGGAAGAATTGTTTGCCTATAAACTACAGCACATTCTACAGTGAACGTAAAAGCACAGCATCTGCATAGATCAGGAACCCGTAGCAAAAACTGACAATTAAACACAGCACAATTAACAATATCACATTATCGTGCGACATAAGCACAAGATTAGAAAAAAAATTCAGAAGGCAAGGCCGATTCTCTGTTTTATTATAATTATTAAATATCGGGGTCTTTGCAGCTTTCAAATGGGACCTCCGATGAATTTGGCACACCAGCAATCACAAATTAGGTTTTTTTATTGCTTATTAGGGATTCCGATTCATATAATAAGGCACCTTTCCAAAAAAACTATGCGTTTCACACCCATCTATATAAGTGGGCCAACGATGGCTTAAACATATTTACTTGCCAGCGTAAAAAAAAACCTGTCAAATTTCTCGGCATATTTGCCTTTCCAGTTGGATTTATTTAAACTCTTGATTAGGAAAAAAGGCAATTCATTGCCAAGGAGTAAACAACGTCATGTGGCAAATTAAAATAAATCACACTAAGGAACATGCGTGCAAGTTGCGTCTTGGCAGGCACATTCTGACAGTTCAAAAGGCACACATTTTACCCAATACAACAGCGGAAGAGGCATTCAATTGTAAACAAAATCTTTCCTAAGCTGCTGGCACGTACGCCTTGTAAGCATTGTAGTTTAGTATTTCTAAGTGCCAGTGGTGTCACCTGGGCAATGCAATTGATTTTGTAATTCTAGCTGGCCAAGTTTGAACACTGCAGTTTAAAACCATTCCAACAGAGGGCGATGTTTCAGAATGTTGTTTACAACTGATGTTTGAGTGCAGTGGGACTTGGAGCCCGTAATTTTAGATGGCATATTCAACATCCGAATTATTCCTTCAACGCGTTGTACACCGATGTTGCTGTAAATGTATCATTACGATGACGTAAGTGGGTCAAGTTTATTTTTTTAACTCCAACTTTTGAAGTGACGGGTTGGCCATTTTGGGGGAGGAAAATTGCCAGGTAAATTGCAGACAGTGATTGGTCCATAAGCACGCAAACATTTATGTAATCAACACAATATCGTACATCTCTCCAATTCGGTTCACCAGCCATTGGCACGACCAATTAAAGTGCCGACTCTGTCTTGTACTCTGCTCGTACCACCAAACGGCATGGGGTGTTTTCCTGGATTGGCGCGTGCCAACACAGCAAATAATGAGTACACTTAAATTAAAACGAGTGGCAATTCAAAACGTTTGCCCTGTAACACAATGTACCACGTCAATGCTGCGCACTGGTTTAACGGCTTCTCACAAAATCACCGCTCATCATCAAGGCAACTGTAATATGCTTTAAATGTTCTTCCTGCAGCCTTCCGATACGTTTAAAGCATGAAATGTTGGTTATTTTGTGTACAACTTTTCTCATGGACAAATTGCGACTTTAACTTTTAAATACGAGCAGCGAACCCATTGCCGAGGTTTCTTTAGGTGAGACATTGTGGGGACGAGGGACGCAGCTGCCTCCAAGCACAAATGTTTGGACGGGTGTGCCAAGCCACGTGCTGTGCCCTTCTCAATAAACGCGGGCCACCTACGCGACATGCCGTGCATGCCGAGTTAATTAACTCATCTTCCAAATCGTTTGCAAACATCCTCTCTCCTCCTCACTGCTCAGCTCAAATCTACCTACCAGTATTTCCCATTCATAAAATGTATAGTCACTCAATTCATCATTGCACACACACACACGTTGATTGGCTGACGATGAAACCTGAAGTGGATTGAGGTCAAAAGCACTGCAAATTGACCACCTCTGGTTGTCCTCGCAAGCATGCGGGCGGGCGGCGGTGGCAGCAGTGAGTCCCAATCAGCATCCAGGTCACTGGCCTCAGAATCTGGTCCGGTTTTCCCATTCCAAACGACACCCGGCCCACAAAGACAGATTCCACGCTGTTGCTGCTGCTACAGCGGACAAAAGTAGCTTGACTCGTACACTTGAGCCAGGTCACCCAAGAGTACGACACCCAGGCAATTTAGGCAAGTCAATATTCACCCGTGTGTTACTCGCAGCCTGGGTTACACTGATTATGCTCACAGCAAAATTGATGGCACCATATTCATGGAGCATGACCGAATTAATAAATGCAGCAACCTTTGAGCAAAGGTCAGTCTTTTCCAACTGACAAACAAAATTGAATCTTTCAAAGGCTTGACTTTCCCCCCCCTACAATCAACACTGTATTATACGTGATCCATGTATAGATACCCCACCAAAATAATGAGACTAGGGAAACCGTTCGATTTAATTCAAGGCGTCTGCGCATCTCTCACCAATACACAAATTGAATCTTAACAACTCCCCTCCCTGTAAGGTATGCAGACAGACACCGCTTTCACAATATCCCATCACGTGCTGAACATAATTACGAGGGTAATTTAACTAATCAGCAGAGTATCTATAAACGGATCACCCTGTATACATATATACACATCCCTTAATCTGTTACAAATTGAATGCATACAACAATCAACTGAACACGAACTAAATTTCGGCAACTTTGGGAGTGTAATTATCAGCCGCATTTTACAGGGGGGAGGGAGTGGGGGAGGGGGGTGGGTGGGTCGTAATAACGGCGAGCGTCTGGGTTTAACGCTCTCTAACTCTCTCTCGCACGCGCGCAAGCGAGCGGTTAATCCGTCTGCGGGATGGAGAGGCCGGGCGCCTTGGGGTCGTCGAAGCGGTCCATGGTCTTGATGGAGGAGAGCATGTGCAGGGCATAGGTGAGAACGAGCAGCAGCACAAAGCCCGACACGAGGCCCATCCAGATGGCGGGCGTGAAGAAGGAGGCACAGTCGCTGGCGTAGGCGAACGCTGTGCCGTTACGCATCGCCGCCGAGCCCTGGATCTGTGTGGGGTGGGGGCGTGGGGTGTGGGGTACACGCGCACCATGAGGATACCAACCTCAGAATGTCACACGGTGAATACTGCGCTGGCGAGATGTTATTGCCTCCCCTGTGAAACAAGAGGTCGTGGGTTCGATCCCGACCCTGACAACGCCTGCTGTATCACGTGGAGTTTGCACGTCTCTCTCCCCGTGGTTGCGTAGATTTTTCCCCTCCACAGTTAGAATCATCATGCGCGTAAGAGTATTTTGACTGCTGCTACAAATGTCCACGTGATAATGAGCCACTTCGCTGAGCTATCATTTGTGTCCAAGTCGCTTCTGAAAAAGTGCTGCATAGGCTCAGTGAGCCTTAAAATAAAAAAAAAATTTTTATAGCATTATAACGCTCGGCATGCATGCAGCCGCATTGTGCCGTCGTTGTTTCTGCAGCGTGTAGCGATTCGGTCGTATTTAGCAACGTGGGTAAGAAATATTCAATCTAAAGCTGTTTTACAAGAATGACGCGCAGAAGGACCTTGGTAAAAACAAAAACTTTTTCCAGCGTAAACATCAAAACGTTCCAGACACTGATAGCGAACATGTCCCTGAGTTCACAGCCTTACGGAGCTCAAAAGAATTGTGAGCAAAACACCGAATATTCAAATGTTAACTTCATCCATGCATCATCTCACATCTTAAGCCACCAGCTTTGTTGGTCAGAATTTGATCGATACATTGGCAGGAATGCATAGCACCCCCACTGCTGAAAAATTACTAGAATTGTGATAACATAAAGCCAGTGGCCACATTCACCAAAGGTTTATCTAAAACCTAGAGACGTTTCCTTTGACAGCTACACATTGGCTTCCATCCCACTAATTAAATACCCCAAAGTTGGAATGCATTTCATAATCCATGCGTACGCATGAGTTATCTCCTCTGATTAAATTACTTTGCAAAGGGGTTAACCTGAGGCGTCTCTCACCAGATCCCAATAAGCAGTTCATTTCTTTAGAACTGCGTTTCGTGTTTAGTTTGTTGTCCTTCCAATACACCTCCAATTAGGACGGTTGGCTACGTACGGTGGCAAGTTCAACATACTCACTGTATATAGCCTCTTGTCACAGCAGCCCATTTGCCCACTTCAACAATTGTTTCTTGCTGTGGTTGTCCCACCTGATGATGGACGCTTGTGTTGCGCCCGAAACGTCGTGAGAATTGTATTTTATTATGTTTTGTTTTTATTATTTTATTATTTCCCTTCTACGTGACTTTACCGAAAGAACCAAGAAGAAGTTTAACATACATACGTGTATGATGGCGATGATGATGATACGGCCGTATGAAACACTCTTCCTTTCGATATTAGGAGCGACTTGGAGCTATGCACTTTTACATCATCTAAATTAACAAACTCACTTCTTTAGAACTGCTTTTTGTATTTAGTTTGGTGTCCTTCCCCCGCACCTCCAATTTAGCACGGTTGGCTACGTACGGTGCGAGAGAAGTTCTACACACGTACAAACAAACCGATTTTTGTGATGCGTTCACCCCCCCCCCCTGGCCTGGGTACCTGGAATCCCTCGATGGAGAAGTGGATCTGCCTCTGGCGTTCCGCGGGCGAGGCATCCGGGCCGAAGCTGCCCATGAGCACCATGCCACTGTGCCGGGGCTCCGAGTCAACGGCGCCACAGCTGTAGGAGTACTCGGAGGGGTTGGACGCCCAGCGCACCGCGTATTGCTCCGTCGCGTTCCACGACATGGCGCCGCCCCCCGCCGTCTCGTTCACAGCCTCCATGATGAGTTGCTCCACCGTCATCCAGTTCCGGTTGGACACCGGGTAATGGCGCTGGGAAAGCCTTATTCTGCAACCGGGAGATGGTTGAAACGCGGTTAAAACCTCCAAACGGAACACTGTTGACGTGCTAATTAAGCTGCCCTTGGTGGCAGGCGTGTACTGATAGGCACTAGCAACTTTAAATGTATACAGTCACTGTACTTCTCTATTGTATTGAATTTAGTCAAATGTTTCCTTTGACACCGTATGCTTTGCTGATGTGCTCTGTAATTTTTTGGGTCTTCAATTGTAAACATTCAATTGTAAGCTATTAAGCGTTAAACGTCTTACGTGGTAATAATGTACAAATGGAATATAACAGCATAATATTAAATTACAGCAGTTTTCTATCCACCATGGCCTCCAAATGCTGTGTCTGTGATTTGGGTTTTTCGACCATACTTCACCGCACTGGTAAGTGCGGGTTTATGAGCAGTAGGGGTGGGCATGACCAGTTCTCATACCGCATGCCACTGATGTTAGCGGTGGCCAGAAACCGAACCTGGGCAGCTGGAGTTGATAGCGCTGTGTGAGAACTGCTGCATAAATCTAATTAAACTGCAGTATAAATGTAATGAAACTTAACGGACATGTTTTAAATTACTTTATTACCTTCAGTGTGCCGGACATCTGCCAAAACCGTAACGGCTCTCCATTTAGGCTGGCTTCGAAAACTTTGACTTTATAATTGAGTCACAAAAAATGCCATATAAAAGCAAATACTTTTTCCTAACTTTGTTGTAACATTAACTTATACTTTTTAATGCTTTCCAACTCAGCTTGAAAGTGTTCATGCATTAGCTCTGTGATACTGTCTGTACTACGGGGTCACAATAATGCTCTGAAAGATGATCCAATATGAACTCAACTATCGTATAAACCTGCTCTGAATGTAACGCTATTATCACCAACTAAATATTTCAGAAGGCATATAAATGTTGCAAAGCGATAAAAATGTATGCACGTGCGCGTGACTTTTCGAACACGTTCACTCTGGTGCTCGCAAGGTGGCAATGATACATACTCAATGTTCAAGTTGGTGACCGGCAGATTGGAGATTCTCAAGTTTGAGTAAGATAGGACCAGCCTGAGACAAAAGAGACACAACACAGCTCAGCGCCATCTCTAATAACAGTGGTTATTCATTATCAGACACTGTTTCCACATACGCTATAAATGTATAGGGCACAGAAACGGGCAATAAAAATTCGTAAGAGGCATCGATAGGACTTTAATAGTGGCTCAGCATTATTTCGTGGCAGGCTTTATGCAATACCTAAAAAAGCCCCTTTTAATTGCCATGTATTGTTATGACTTAATGGTTATTGTAAACCTGTTGAAATTTCCCAAATACTTACAAATTGTAAACATAACCCGATAAAAAAGCAAAAACCCAGTTTTAGTTAATTCAGCAAATTCAACGCTTGCATTTTGCATGTTAATGTTTAGCATTATTTGTCTTCGGCATATAATAACTAGCATGTTTATTTCAGATATTCACCCACCAAGATACTTGAACCCAGTGAATGTTGTGCCCCCCAGTTCAGCATCTGAAGTACGATTTTCTGGGCCTTAACATTTTAAGCAACGGCGGGCACTGACCCACACTCCTTTTACCAGGAAACCACTCAGATTAGTCCCGGGCTTGCTTGAACTGGGATTCACTTTCCCTCAGGCGCCACGGTGGCGAGATGTTAACTAACTCGCCTGGTATCCGGGAAGTTGTGGGTTCGATCCCGACCCCGACGTCTGTATATTTGGAGTTTGCGTGTCTCCATCCCTGTGGTTCTCCAGCACCTCCGGTTTTTCCCTCCACATTTAGAATTAACACCACGCATTCAAAGTATGAGGCTGCTATTATAAAATTTCAAACAAAAAGCCACTTCGTTGAGCTATCGTTTGTGGGCAGGTTGCTTATAAAAAAAGCCATATAAGCTAAGTGGGTCTATGAAGCTTAGTGAGGTCATGGGCTCGATCCCGACCCTGGCGCCTGTATATTTGGAGTTTGCATAACCTCTCTCCCCCCCCCACTCCCGTGATCGCGTGGATTTTTCTTTCGGGTCCTTTGGTTTTTCTCTCCACATAATCAACACCGCGCGTTCAGAGTATTTGGCTGCTACTATACATTTCCGCACAACAATGAGCCACTTCGTTGAGCAATCGTTTGTGGGCAGGTCTCTTCTGACAAAGAGCTACGCATCTCAGTGGGCCTCACCTGGTAACACAAACAAAGACAATGTTTTAGCTCGCAGCTTTTGGAGCGCGCGCGCTTACGTAGAGTTGTCCGTGTCGCACACCGACGCGTTGCTGTTCACCAGCCCCGAGACGAAGGTGGCATTCGTGAGGTCGTACGTGGCGGCGGCAGAGCTGCCAAAGCCGACGAGGAGGCGGCGGGCCCAGAAGGCGATGCACGGCTGCGTGCCGTTCTGCACCACGAGCGGCGCGTGGGAGCCGGCGGGCGCCGGCGGGGCCTTGGTCGCCGCCTGCAGCAGCTGGCGGTTGACGTGCCAGTCGGCCGCCAGCTCATCCCGTCCCCAGTCGTTGCCCGTTGGCACCTGATCGAGATAAAGAAATAACAAAAAATTATTACACACTATACGCTACTACACTACACTCTACACTACACGGGCGTTCGAAGACAGTTTTTACGGAGGCGAGTGTGAGGCGCGTGGGAGTCGGGAGGAGGGGACGGGTGTCCTCGGGGGGGTTGTGCCCCCCTCTTCCGGGAACTGGAGGGAGTGGATTATTGTTCAGAGGGACGTGAGTTCACAAGCTCGCATGTCACGTGTAATTTATTTCATTTGTGGTGTTTTATTACATTGCCTTGCCATTTTTCCCCCGCCCCCCCCTCATATGTATGTTAAACTTCTTTCGCACCATACGCAGCCAACTGTGCTAATCGAAGGTGCGGGGGGGGGGGGAAGGACAACAAATTCGCTAGCGGTTAGCACACTGCACTATGAACCTGGTGACCTGAGTTCGATTCCCGCTCATGGCCATCACCAGTGGCAATTATCTGAACTGGTTCTGGGCCTCCTCTAGGTAGAGTCAGCCTTAAATGAGTACCTGGTGCGGTGTATAAAAACATCAGTACTGGGGAGACAAGGGGTGTGGGCGTTGGCCACCCACCCCCTCGTGTGCCGTGCACGCCTTAATAGGTGCTCGCAAACAGCACTTGCCCCATCAGTATGTCAACGCTATAGGAGGAGTGGCGACGGCATGGGGAAGCCTACATCCAGCAGTGAATAGACCACGGCTGAGGATGAATAGAGGTCACTTGAAGGTATTTCAGAAGTAGCTCCATGACAGCTGCTTCCGTGGGCCGTTTCTCTCTAACACGAAGATGTGATGCGGGAACAAACCTTGGACGGCCGGCTTGCCGTGTACACGGCTGTGAAGGACTGGCCCCCTTCCTCAAGCAGTTTCATCACCTGGCCAATGATTTTATCTGTGCAAATGACAACCCATACCCGACATTCGGCACTCAATGACTTGGTCAGCTGTTTATAAACAGCCTGGGACTTTGACCGTGCGCGTTGCACACACACACGCGGCTAAGCTATAATATCATGGCTATTACGCCCACTTGCGAACATCACATCAAGGCGTAGAATGTGTGTAACATTCTGTGTTTATTAACATAACGCTTTATAAATACCAAATGACGCTGTGCAATAGAATACATTTAAAGTTTTCACAAACACGTTTTACGTTAATGGGCATCTTAACCACAGATAAAATATATATTAAAATGTAAAACAACTTAGTTCAAGCACACCTTTACGCAAACTTTTCTTTATACATAACACAAAATAACCATGTTAGTGCTTAGATGTTGGGGTGGAGCAGTGGCGGAGAGGTTTGGGCACTGCGCTATGAACCCGGTGACCTGAGTTTGATTTCTATCCACGGCTAACATCCGTGGCAATTGATATCTGAACTGATCCTAGATATGCCCATGAACGGATCCAAATTAACCAGCGCGGTGAAGCAACTCCCATGAAGGTGCGGGAGGGGAGGCCTTTGTCCAGCAGTATATAAAGCGCTGTAAATTTTCTTAATATAATGATATTTATAACGTGCCAGATTTTGCAGACAAGTCAATAACTCGGAGGCGCGGAGCCAAGCTCAGGGATGCTCGTAAGCCTGACCCAGACAGACAGAGGCCTTTAGATGTTTCCTGAAAGTCAGTGTGCATTTGATGTTGCGAATGTGGAAAGTGATAGAGTTGTACTCTGAATCCATTTCACACTTTGGCTCCATCTAGCTGCTTTCAGCTCATTTACAAGATGCAGACTTGACATTGATTTTGCCACAACACTGCCGCACTATTCCTTATTTAATGAGTGTCCAAACAACACGTACACAACAGGAAGGGGCGAGGCAGACAATATTGCTCTAAAAATGCTGACTGTCATTTCTGCCCCGCTGATGAATGATCTATCATTGCTGCATGGCAAAGCCAAGAAGCTGTGAAAAGACTTTTGTAACGCAGCTGTAAATTTGTCTAAACATTTACAGCAGCTGTAAAGGGCCATAGTGCAGTAATGCATTTAAATCTTCATCCGCAATCACCGCTCCTCCTTACCGCATACAAAAATTGCACCATGGTAATGGGTAAGTTGTGCAATAGGCAACATTCATTGCTATCTGCCTTCATTCCAATTAACCCATGAGCGCCGTATTACATCATAATCGCAACACGCATACTACTCGACGGTAGCTTAGACTCTTCAAGCCATGTGTTTAAAACATCACTAGATAACCCGGAATGTGCCAGATCTTGCCAGGCAACAAAAAACAAGCAGGTTTTAGCTTGGATAGTGGTTGGCTAGACGACCACCATACTTAAGATATGTTATAGAAGCTGCAAAGCTACACAGTGGGAAACAGAAGGCAGCGGAGCAACATTATTTGTTGTACTGTACTTCTGTACTCACGTTTTAATGATCCATACTTTCACCCTACCCATACAATACAATGAATGTTGCTGCACTGCCGTGTGTTGCCCACAATGTAGCCTCGCAGCAGTCTGTAACAACCGGTTTGTGCCTGTTTGCCCATCCAAGCACTATCCAGGCTCAAAACCCGCTTAGCTTCTGAGATTCGAATAAGACTGGGTGCATTTTGGGTGATTTGGTTAGCGGCAAGTGATTTATATGTACCTATTTTTTTTTTCAATAATGATGAACTTGACAAAATATTGATGTCAACATTAAGACTCACTCGCGCGTCTATTCATACATCTATACACCTCTAATGACGTGACCGTGTTTTATAATGAGAGGAAGTTGGACACAGCACTTACCATTTTTCGCCAGTGCCCTTCCACGTGCCTCCTCACTTGCACTGTGAACACAAAAATGAATGCGACGTTTTGCACAAACTCACAAAACTCATTCACTTAATTGGACTTAGCAATGGCTTGGCTATATACCCACATGGGCTGACAAATGGCCAACCTCCAATTGCGTTTGTCTCGGCTTATGCCTATTCCCTTCTGCAAGTGCGATTGCCAGCTCCAAACAATGTTCTATGTAATGTTTCCGGGAGAGTGATTTTCAATTAAAATAATCTTGTCCATCTGCTTCTGAAAGTGTCATACTCAGTTGCAGACAATCTGTTGTTTTATCTGTTTCTGCGAGCGTGATTCTCGATTACAACCTCCTACCCCAGGGGTTTCATGCGTTTAGTTTGTCGTGTACCTCTACAAACATATATCCGTTTTATGTTTAAGTAAACTATTGAAACATTTCTCCGTTATAATTACATTTGCACTGTATTAACTCCATTTAAATTAAAAAAATGTTTCCTGATGTTGTATATTCATTTCTTTGACTTCTATTGACCTGGTGGGTTGAGTCTTGATAGATCGTTTTTTTCCAGCTGATGTTTTATTTCAATATTGTTCAAGATAAATTTAACCTTTATTACATTTATTTTGTGACACATCCGAGACGCGATTGCATTTGGACAATATGAAAATTGCAATTGTAATTGCAATGCAATCTAATATTTACACTTCAACAAGACAAAAATCATGACTGCTTCCAGTATAGCCTTAAACAGACTGTTGGGACAAGTGCTGTTTACGAGCACTTATCAAGGCCAGCATAGCACATGAAGGGGTAGATGGCGAGCACCATGCCCAGCCACCTTTGTCTACCCAATGCTGATGTTTACACATCTGGTCCCGGTTCTCATTTAAGTCTGAGTCAACATCAGGTAGCCCCAGCACCAGTTTGGGTATTTGTGAGTGGTCTTAAGCATGAGCAGCAATTGAACTCGGGTTGTCAGGTCCATAGCGCAGTATATATGTTGAACTTTTTTCGCACCATATGTAGCCAACCCCTGCTCCCCACACATCAGCAACAACTGCCATTCACCACTAAGTGGCGGTGACGTTACCACAACTCTTGTGCCAGGCTATGTGCTCCCCGTACGAACGCACACACAGACACCACGCACACACACACACGCGTAGAATCGTCCCGAGCGATCACCTTGCCGTAGCTGGGAGATGTACGACGGTGAGCCCCGGACTGTCTCGAGTCAGGGACGCCAGCGGAACAGGGAAGTCCTTCACCTCCGTGACGGCACCGGCCGTGCGCTGGCTCAGCTTCGACGCCAGCTCGTTGGCGGCCCACCAATCGACGGCGGGCAGCACGAGCGAGGACGGCGACGATTTGAGCGCCGTCTGCCCGAGGAGAATAGTGCGGCGTCTCGCATGAGGCAAGGCTAACAAGTGTGCATGCTGCTAATTACATTTGCCAGGGGAATTAACTATCGCTCGTGTTAGTCCGCTGTTTGGTGAGGGCCTGCCCCACATTGTGTGGGTTGCAAGGGCTGTTGGACCACTGGACATCTTGTGAAAAGGAGTTTTTTTAGCTCATTGGATTCCTCCAGTATAAATAAATATTCTTATTCTGACCATGCGTCACCACACTGGTCAGAGGGGTTTGATGAAGGTGGGGAGCATGAACATGGACGCACTGAACGCATGGTAACATTATAGATGTTTACACTATGGGGACCTCATTTGCCAGTAAAAATATGATAATTGGTTCTTTACCCTTCTATCTGGCAACAAAACTGACACCTTTTTACAAGGAGTCATGTTTGTGCGCCTTTTGGCGTCTTCTGGTCCAACCCATGTGAGACTAGGCTCCAAGGAAAGCTGTCTCGGGTGTGGACCAATCAACTTCAAGGACAGTGCACATTATCAGAGTTATGTCTTTTGTTTGTATTTATGACTGCAGGTATTGCGGTCTATGCAAACATGACTCCTTGTAAAAAGGTGTCAGTTTTGTTGCCAGATAGAAGGGTAAAGAACCAATTATCATTATAGATGTTGTTGCACTGCCGGCTATTTCTCATATCGTGGTCCTGCAGCCTATAACGACTGGTCTTGTACAGGGTGGTCACACACCCAAGTACTGGAGAGGCTCAACCTCGCGTAGATTCTGAGATCTGATGAGATCGGGAGCACTGCTGGTTATTTCATCATAGGTTACAATTACTATCATTAATGAAATCTGAATAGAAATATAAGCAGTGTATTAAATTTATTAACAGGATGTGTAAATATGGGTCGTACAAAAGTCACGCAATAAAAGTTTTTGTTCATATTTTATTTCAATAACACCATCAAGGAGATATGCAATAAATGTACTCTTTTGTATTATAGAAATGCTATGCTCACACCTAAAGCTCCGCTTCCAATTCAGCCTAAAAATAAAAGTAGCCTATTTTTGTACCTGTACACTTGAGAAGGCATTTTCATTCCTTTTAGCAAATGCACCAAATCTTGTGAAGTCGTCAACGCTCAGCTGAAGAAAAACCAACATGAAACATAAATTAGTTTGTGGTCAAGCTTTACAGGTAAACTGATGGACACGGTAGGTCGCAGGCAGTAGACGTGCAAAGATCCAGGCGACAGTGGCGAGACGTTAACTACCTCGCCTGGTATCCAGGTTGTGGGTTCAATCCCGACCCCGACGAAAACTCCTGTATGTTTGGAGTTTTCGTGTCTTCATCCCCATGGTCGCATGGATTTTTCTCCGGGACCTCCGGTTTTTCCCTCCCCAATTAGAATTAACGTGCGTTTTGAGTCTTTATCTGCTATCAATTCCCACGTGATAAGCCACTTAGTTGAACTATCAATTATTGTGGCCAGGTCGCTTCTGAAAAATAGCTATATAGCTCAGTGGGTAAATTTTTTTTTTAACTCCTCTGCAAATGCCAGAGAGCTCAGGAGGGTGCAGGAGAGGTTTGAGGCCTCTGGTTATGGCCACTCCAACTCGCGACCCACGGATCACCTTGTCCTGAATGAAGAGCAGTAGGAGCTGGCTCCGAGGCACTGGTTTGAGGAACTGCTGCTCCAGCTGTGACTCTGACACGATGTGGCCCACGTGTGGTGGTGGCTCAGAGCTCCACAGCGAACTGAAACAGGAGCAGGCCGCAAACAGACAGGAACAGTTCATTAAAATAACATAGCAACAAGGTGTCCACTATACCGCACCTCCGATTTTGGTTTCGTGTTACCCATGCGAGACCGTGTCAACGAAAGGCGAGCCGTAGGAAAAACGACGACTGAAAATGTATGATGCAGCTGTAGTGAGTCCAACTGAGTCGCAGACGTTGTCTTGGGAGCAACACGTTATATTAAACTTTCAGCACAACATACTCCAAGCTATTGACACAACAAACTCGCGGGTGGTGACCACCCAACTAACCAAGCTACGGCGGGACTAGACACGGTTCCACTATCCCGGTCCGGACCACAAGCTGTGTCCTGGACCGCGTGGCTGGAGGCTTCTTCAAGCTTGACGTGGATCTCCTGCCTCTCCAACAGTAAGAACCCCGAGCCCCTCTCAGGGCCCCCCTTATATCGGGCCGGGCTGGGGCTGGCTCTGCCTCTCGCCCCGCCCACCTTCTCGATCTCTCTCGCCCCCTTGCCCGACGGCTCTTGAGAGTTCTTCCAGGACCATGTGACCACCCATTGGCCCCCTTCACCGGTGGCCCCCCTCCAGTATCATCAGGTCAGCCAGAGTATCGTGCCCCCAACGTAACCCTAGCTGGCTGACACTCTCTCGCTCTCTCAACGGGAGCCCGCACTGCACGCTGTGCGTGGTGCCACCGCGCTTAACCAGCGCTCCCCCAAGCCCCCACTAGGGCTGGTACTACACCCCGTGTCCGGGGTGTACACACAACAGTAGACATCCCGCCGTGGCCTCGCAGGCCCGGCACCACACAGTGACATTCCCAGTCACTACACACCCAGTACGCCATAGTCGTCTCCAAGCGCAGAAATACGATGGAGGAAACGGGAGGAATGCATGCCACTGTGTGCTATCAATGCTTAGGATGGGGATGGTTTAGTTTTATCTGTATGTTTTTTAGGGGGTTCGTTAGCTTTCCTGTACTTTGCACAATCATGTTTTTGTTTCGTTTGTTGTTGTAACGTTCTTACCTGCCCCTTCTTGGACATCTGTGAAAAAGAGCTTCATATCTCATCGGATTCCTCCAGAATAAATACAAATTCTGATTATTGGCCCGGCGGCGGTAGCTACACAGGCGGCCTGTAATCTGACCGTGTTCTGTCCAGTGCCGCTGCCAAACGAATAAGTTATGAGGTCGCGCTCACTACACACAAAGCGCTTGCCACAAATGAACTACAATACCTCGCTGACCTCGTCAACGAGCGTAAACCGACACGCGAACTCCGGTGATCCGCGCAGCAGCAGCAGCGGCTTTTGTCTAGCCATCGAAACCAGTGCCGTCATGGCCCTCTACGAGTACCATCACCTCGAGCAGCAACCTCCACCGTTCACAGTGCGAGTGTGTGAAGCGAGGTGCAGCAATTACTTGGCAGCCTTTAATTAGTGGAAACCCACCACCAGCGCCGTCGTTGCCTTCTACGAGTACCATCACTTACATTAGCTGTCCCGCCTATGCTGATGACACATGTGTTAAGATGTTAAAACACAAAATTGAAACCTTTTACAAGGAATCATGTCTGCATTAACCACAATACTTGTGGTCAGAATGCAAACAAAATACATGCTGATAGTATATGCATTGTCTTTGAAACTGATTGGTCTACACCAGAGACAGCTTTCCTTCGAGCCTAGTCTCAAACGGTGTTAGACCAGAGGACGCCAAAAGGCGTACAACACAAAGACAACGCACTATCAGAGTAATGAGAGCTCGGGGTGAGCACACATGATTCCTTGTAAAGGTTTAAGTTGGGTGTTTTAACGTATTAACACCTACATTTTGATTTAAAGCTTTCGTGACTGCAGGAATTCATATTCTTGGTTCTTTCGGTAAAGTCACGTAGAAGGGAAACCTGATGATGATTGCTTGTGTTGCAGTCGAAACGTCGTGAGAATTTTATTGTTTGATATTTTTATTTTTTTATTGTTTCCCTTCTACGTGACTTTACCGAAAGAACCAAGAATATATTAACACCTGTTTTGTTGTCAGAAGAAAGGGGAAAACCTATTCTCATATTTTGGTACTGGCAAATGAGGTCCCATGATGTACCTTTATAAAGTTTGCCTTTAGAGGCTAACCTCTTTTCCTGATGACGACCGCTTGTGTTGCGATCGAAACACCGTTATTTTCTTTCAACCTATCTACGTGACTTTACCGAAAGACCCAAAGAATATGAATTCTTGCAGTCACAAAAGCTTAAAGTCAAGATTTCGCGTTAATGATTTCTGATTCCATACAAGGAAGTGTCACGGTGTTATTTCCCGTGGTAAATACCCGCTGAGCTAGACGGCTCTTCTGTCAAGGGCGAGTAGACTCGGCCATGGATCGACCCAACCAGGCCGACTTGATCCACAATCTGTGCACGTTGTACTTGGACAGCCCCTCTGCCAATCCACTGCTGGATGAAGGCCTCCCGACTTTGCTTGATTCGCAGCGATTAACTGGCCATGCTCCTCATTGGAGACCACAAGCCCCGCACGTTGTTACCCCCCCTGGCTTTGACATCCCTACCGTGTAGACACCGGTGGTGTTAACCATCAGCCCGCGTTAGGGGCCGTCCATAAATTACGTCACGCAATTTTGGACGATTTTTGACCCCCCCCCCCTCAAATATGACGTCACAAAGCTCTGCCCCCCCCAAAAAAACACGTTTCAAGTCGCTTTAAACTATTGTCATTGTAGTGCGTATTTAATGTGGCGCTGCACTCTGATGTTGTAGGAGAAACATTTATTAAAAAGTCTATTTAATTAAGTAGAACGCGTGGTCTATATTTATTTAAAGTTGCGAATTTTGATGTGACGTCACATTTCTCAAACCCCCCCCCCCCCTCGTCACACATCATCACAAATGTCTGACCCCACCCCCCCCCCCCGGTGCGTGACGTCATATATGGACGGTCCGGTGCGGAATAAAATGATCGACCGCACTGAACTACACAAGCCAGTCTGGGTTAAATGCGGGGAGCATAGACGTACAGTACAACATTGTTTTACATCGCCCCCTGGTGCCCACCACTCAACTCCTACGTCGCGTTGGGTACGGCGGGCGCTCATTCACCATCAAGTCTCTCAACTTTGCTAAAGTTCTGACGAGATCTGCTACAACCCGGGCGAATGGCTCATAGGTAGTAAACATTCATACTAAATTAAGTATTGTCGAGAGAGAAAAAACTGTTTAACTTCAATATAACAACCGAACACACTCCCAGCGCTTAATGACATAAACGACAATTAAATAAAAAGTCAATCAGTGGTTAACCACCGATGGTGCCGTGAGGGAGACGCTAATCCAGCAATGGGACTTTTAACATTTTAACATCTCTAACCATATCGATTAATCCTCTTTGATTCTTTCAATAAAGTCACGTCGGTAGAAACAATAACAGATCACGACGTTTCGATCGCAACACACACAAGCAACCTCCCTACGTGACTTTACCGACAGAACCAAAGACTATAGATTCATACAGTCACGAAAGCTTCCAATCAATATTCATATCGATTAGCACTGTACACGTAGATACACAAACAAAAAACTTGTTAGCGAGCTCTGAATGAAGTCCGGCACGGCGCCACAAGGCTGTGTGGCTGGCCAACACCACGCCCGACCGCCTTTGTCTCCCCCGGCGGCGACGTTTCACACACAAGCCAACATCAGCGACTCGTGTGAGGATTTCCTGTAGCGATGTTGGTGGTGGCCAAAGGCGGTAATGGACCCGCTGACACCCGGTAACCTCGCACACAGAACAACAACAACAACTTAACAAACAAACAAAGTCACTCGCCTCTGCGTGGACCACAGCAGCACGGGCACTTGGTCTACACACAGGCAGCGCTGCAGGCACAGCACGAGAAGGACGAGACTCAGGGCGAAGTTCCATCTCCCCACGGACGCTGATGCCGCAGTGGCAGCCGACGCCATGGTTCAGTGGGGCGAGAATCGATTATGCGGAATCGTGCGTTATTAGATTATTGCGTTAGCGATTCGTGTCAATTAACCGCGCAAAACAATCGATTACTTTGAGGGGGGTGGTTATTCAGATCGTTCGCGCCGTATATGGCGTTTAGGATACGTATTCACAACGAATGGGATGGAATGGATTTGAAAGTGCAGGCGATAATCAGGAATGGGATCGTGAATCGAACCGCGCAATTCGGAATGACAGTGATTCGAATCTGCTCCGATGTCGACTTCCCTGCTGTCGGTCACGTGCCGCTCACGAGGTCATAGGCATCCGCCGCGCTCCTAGAAAGTGCCTGTTCAATTTAACCGAAGGACCCAGGTGAGTTTTAAATTAATTTAATTAAACTAATCAAAATCAAATTTAATCAATTCCTCCCGAATAAATTAAACAAAAATAGGACCTTAATAACTGTTAATTCTTATGTCAAGATATAGTACGGGTGCGTGTGATTTATTTTTGTGTACTCGATTATTTGACCGATATAAATTTCCACACAACAAGCCACCATTTATAATGTCCAGGTCGCTTCTAAAAAAAAAACTACGTATCTCAAGTGAGCCTTACCTGCTCAAATAAAAAGCAGTAGTTTAATTGTGTTTAATTGTGGTGTACGCTCAGGAGTTTTTTTAGTCACCTAAAGTTGGCGGTGGGGGGTGGGGAGTCAGGGGGTGGGGGTCGGGGGGGGGTCCTCGGGGTTGAGTTTGGCGCAAGGGCTTCTGGGATCTCTCTCTTCCGCCCCGTGAAGAACGTGGAGCCGCCATGGGTGAGCATCCGCGCCGCGGGAAAAGCGCCACGAACGCGACTTTGGCGCCGGATCGCCGCGCTCAGAACGCTTCGCCGAGACGCCCGAGTCTTGGCGACCGCGCGCGAGATGTTTTTAGCGAAGTAGGCGGTGAAAGAGACCCGTGCGTGCGTGGGTTAGCCAGGCCGCGTGGTGTGTGTGGAGTTCTCGCTCAACATGGCGGCTTGCACCCGCCCAGCAGGCGCGCTGAAGAGGCCGCCTCGCCCTACCGCGAGCAGCTGTCGCGATTCTAGCTCGCGTCGTCGTAGTTGTGTCGTCTGTGGAGAGGTGGTACCACCACCACAACGCTTGTTGTGTGGACTGTGGTATGCTCACAAGCGTCTATGCGGCGCCGCCTTCACTAGGCCCTCTCTGACTAGAGTGGTGAAGAATCCGTAAATGTGGGTTTTTTTGGGGGGTAAGATCGCGTAAATATATAAGTGTGGCGTTAAACCCTCCACCACCCGACATAGCCAATTAGTAAGGGTTGTCGCGTAAGCAGAACACGCCGAGTCGTTACTACAACCTCACCACCGGTATGTTGGAGAGCAAATCTACAACTTTCTTGACTGCAGGAATTCATATTCTTGGTTCTTTCGGTAAAGTCACATCGCTTGTGTTGCGATCTTAACGTCGTGGTTTTTTGCTTTTATTTTAGATTTTTTGTTTTCTATTTACGTGACTTTACTGAAAGAACCAAGAATATAAATCTACAACATTTACAATCTTGAGTTTTCAGATTGTAGAAACGAATTGGCTGTGTCGGGTGGTGGCTGGTTTAGGGGCACATTAACGCGATCAAACCCCAAAAAAACTATATTATGGATTATATTGGTGGCGAAAGTCTACGTGTTAAACCAGTGGGATGAGTTATGGTCTTATAGCAACCCACCTGAATGGCCCCGGTGGTGGGGGGGGGGACTTTCATCTACCACTTGGTTGACAAAGAGCTGTGCACGTTCATCATATTACCGACTATGTCGTGACCCAATATATTGATACTGCGGGTATATATTTTAAGGGGCATTCGTTTCCTTTGCTAACCATGTGGCGGCGATGCGCTCATGCACGTGGCAGGGCCAGTGCTCAAGTATCGTACACGCGTGCTGTGATTATTGCATTTTTAACACGGACTATTTGGAGGTTTCAGTTTCATTTATTTGGTGTAGCCCTGTGAGCCATTCGGCTCTTGAATCGGGTGCAACCGCAACAAACAAAAAACATGAACAAGAAAACATCTTAAAGTGACTATGCGCAAACAGAAAAATCCAGGAACAATGGCAAAAATCTTCGAGAAAAGGCACCAACGCTGTGTGCAAAAATCCCAGTGGGATGCAAGTGGCAGCCAAGAAATGGAACGCGTTCCAGAGGACAACCAAAATGAAAACGGCCTTTGTTAGGTATAGAGCAGCCTTTTATTATATTAACACGTATCGATTGCAATGAGAAGTAATGGAACGCTTCTGAGGACGTCTTGACGAGGAGGTGAAGCAAATGAAATCAGCTCGTGTGCAGACGCCAGTTTCATACATCGCAGAATCGTGCGAGATAGCGGCTTGGGTAGAGGCCTAACATGCGAACAGCATGTTGAGCTTCATTCGCGCCGTACGTAGCCAACCGTGCTAATCGGAGGTGCGGGGGAAGCACAACTAACGATAGTAGTAAAACAGTGAGTTTGGGTCTTGCCATATTAACGTGGAATTCGTGCCACCAGTTGGCAAGTCGGTAGTGCTATTGGTAATAGAAGGTGGCTATGTGAAGAAAGCGAGAATTGGCTTGTGATTTTAGGTACTTTAATTGCTTATTTACATTTGTATATTGTTTTATATATTCGTATAATATACAAGCAATATAAATGAAATTGTAAATGGACCATATTTGGACTTGAAATAAGAGGGGTTTTGTTTTTAAAAAATGGATATACCAGGGAAGCCCACCCCTAAATTGTCATGGTATTTTGAGGACACACTGTAGGTGAATCGTAAATAGCACTTGCCACTTCCACCCAATGCCTCGAGTGTAATGTGATCATATGTGCGTTTTATTTGTTGTGCCCAGGTAAGTGCCGAGGTCTGCGTACCGCCAGGAAGCTGAGGAACCTGCGCCGCGAGCAGCGCTGGTCCGACAAGAGCTACAAGAAGGCTCACCTGGGCACGGCGCTCAAGGCCAACCCGTTTGGCGGAGCCTCTCACGCCAAGGGGATCGTCCTCGAAAAGATGTACGTGGTTGGGGGGGGAGCGAGTGAAGTGGAGTGAATGTCAAGCGTGCGTTTCGTGTGTTTGTGCCTATGTACGTGTGGATGTTGAACTTCTGCACCGTAACGTAGCCAATCGCCCCTCCGATTAGCATGGTGTTAGGTTGTAGTGGCTGGGTGGGGAGCACAGGCAGTAACTGGAATAATGACCAGGAGATGATAGGAGACTAGTGAATTCTCACTGGGCACTGGTTTTCTGCCACTTGTGAAACTTCCGAATGGAATTGGCCTTACATTCTAATGCAGGTTCCTCGTGAAAGTCTTTGGATTCGGTGAAGCTTTTCTGCAAAAAAAATATCTGTAGCACGCTGTTATGTATGTTGAACTTCTTTCACACCATACGGGGCCAACCATGCTAATCTGAGGGTGCGGGTAGGTTAATGGGAGTTTTTAGGTCATGTTTTAATATTGAGAGGGAGATGTTAAACTTGTACCATGTCATTGTGAATACAATGGTCATATACTTGCACTTGTTACCTTAATCAATAATGATTGTCTTTCTTTGACTTGAATTGTACCTTGAAAATGATTTTCTGCTTTATTATCTCTTTCCGTTGACAGCGGCGTTGAGGCCAAGCAGCCGAATTCCGCCATCCGCAAGTGTGTGCGTGTACAGCTCATCAAGAACGGGAAGAAGATCACCGCCTTTGTCCCCAACGATGGTTGCCTCAACTTCATTGAGGTAACCAGGCTCGGTCGATGAAACAGTTTACTGCATGTTAACAATTATGCATTCTTTACTTGAAAAATAATAACACTGCATGCGTGCAACTGATACGAATTAAATTCGTTAAAATGCGATGTAAAAAAAAATTCATTTTGAAATTTCTTAAATACATAGATAACTCTGTGAAGGGAGTTTAGTAACTCATGGTTATGGTCAAAACTGCTGCAACAGATTTGTATTCTGATTAAGGGTCACTGTTTTCAGCTCTTTATCCTCGATGTAGAATAATTTGGCAAGCATTTTATTTCGGAAGATACAACCAAAAAAACTCAAATCTTTTTTTTTCCCACAGCTTTAACAGTAAAGAAAAGACATCAAAGGCACCATTCGTGCGAGAGTGATATTACTTTCATTTACATAATTGGATGTCCCAAGGGCATTGCAATGCTGTGAATAGCGTTACTATGTAAAGGAATTAGTTTCTCATGAGTGATACAAACCCAGGGTCCCATTTGGGATGCTGCCTAGTTGTAGCAATAGGCAAGAATACGCAAGAAGCAAAATATATCTTATATTCAAGCTACAAGCAAAATACATATCCAAGATGTATAAGATATATATTTAGCGTTTTGTATCTAATATTGTTCTGCTGTACATCCAATTGGCACGTGTGGCTACGTACGGTGCGAAAGAAATTCAACATACGCATGTACATGTCAATATTGGTCAGCCCAAATTACAGTCTCGGCAACATTGCCAGTTCAAACCTTTGGTCCCGATGTACATTTTGGCAAATGTCCCTTTTCATCGACAACAGCATCAACGTAGGAAATATCACCATGCTGACCTCGCGTGCATTATTTTGCCGTTCGAATTGCATTTGTGCTCTCTGCAGCATCCGTTGGCTCTATTGGCGATTGAGATTGTTCTGACTTTAATTGTGAATCTTTTTTTTCTTCTCCATCCCCGCAACCGTTCGCCCTCGCGCAGGAAAACGACGAGGTCCTGGTGGCCGGGTTCGGCCGAAAGGGCCACGCCGTGGGAGACATCCCCGGCGTTCGCTTCAAGGTGGTGAAGGTGGCCAACGTGTCGCTGCTCGCCCTCTACAAGGAGAAGAAGGAGCGGCCCCGATCATAAAGCGTCACACTGCCATGTGTGCGCAGGCGCGTTTGTGCAGTTTCATCAATAAACCCATGGACACAGTTTACTCATGTCTTGGTGGTCATTGTGCGAATGGTTCTGTAACACACACTTAGTAGTCATTGACACATCCGGGCAACCCAGTACCTCCACATGGCATGGTCTTGTCCCATAATAGGTCTTGCCCTGTAATTCTTGTAGAAGCTCTGCACTGTTTGGTTCCAGCTCACATGTGATCAGCTTAATTTTCCAGGACCCACTTTGTTTTTTACCAGGAAAGGCCCACTGAGCTGTAAAGCTCTTTCTGAAGTGGCCTGGCCACAAATGATACCCCAACGAAGTGGCTTGTGGAAATGTTTTGAAGCCAAATATTGTGTTTTTAAATGTGGAGGAAAAAAATGGAGGATGTGAAGAAAAATCAAAGGGGAGAACATGCAAACTTCCAAATATAGAGGCATCAGTGTCGGGACTGAAACTACGACCTCCAGTTTACCAGGCCTGGCAGATAACATCCCACCACTGCGGCACCCGATGCACATCTAAAACATGTCATTTTATCCAAAGAAATAGAATAATGTTGGTCTTTTTAATGATTCACACGAGGGCATGTTAACACATGGGTGTCTCATGCTTTGTATACACTTATTGACCATTGTTTTGCAATTTGATGTTTGTGGATAAAAAGTTATTTTTCAAAGCCATTTTTAAGTTGAAAATAACGGGCTTAGGGCAACAAGTGAGTGAAATTAAACCCGGGACAACAGTCGACATTGTACTTAATGGCAACGAGGCTGTTTTTCAAATGGCCAACATTTTAACGGTGAACTGGCAAATGTGTAACTTGACAGCCAGCTGTGTGAATAGTCATAAGTCGACATGCAATGACTCAACGTACCCGTTTGCGACCCTGGTGCGGCCGGGTAGGGGTAGGCCGTGAGTCACTGGTTTCGGGTAGGGTATGGGCAGGGACCCTGGTGTGGCCGGGTACGGGTAAGGAATCAAAACCCGTTTGCGACCTGTTGTCGAGTGATATGCGTACCAGTGGCTGACGTTACTCAAAGTTGTAGGTCCTCTAGAGATGTTGCACCCAACACGGAATGAACCATTAGCTTGCCCATTAAGTGTTTATTAAATTAATTCGTTTTTATATATGTATTTGTAATTACAACCTGGGTCATGTAATCACTATGGTAGGAACCCATGGAACTGTAGTAAAAGGATGGTGAAAATGTACGTTTTATCATCACTCCGACACCTCACCAATGTTGCGTGACGTCATAAACCGCCCGCTCACCGCTCCTGCGTCTCTTGACGTCATCACTACCTGTCCACTTACCCGTTGTCACGTGACCTCAACCCCTCTCACCACCACCCAAGTCCAGCGTGACGTCATCCCTTCACTCGACCAGTGAGGTGTGACGTCATCACTCCTCACATCTTCATCGCAATCTTTCGTGACGTCGGCACTCCGCTCCCCAACATCCCAGTGCCTCTGAGGTCATCAGCCCCTCCCCCCCACCTCACCAGCGTGGTATGACGTCATAACCCCCTTCATCACCCGGCCAAACTTTGTTATATTTTCCTGTGTGTCCCGGTGTGCGTTACAGACAAACAAGCGGGTTGTTTTAGAAGAGACCGGCGGTATGCCGAACACTCCTGATAGCCAGAAAGGCTCCTCACTCCCGTGTTAATGTTGCCACTAGAGGGCACCATAAACCAGCCTCGCAGCTCCAACTCCCTGCAAGTTCACGTTATATCAGTGTTCTTCACTTATTTCGGAGGGGTGGCAAATTCGCCGACGAGACATCATCAGTGTGAGGGCCGCCACACCATTTGAAACCATCGGGGGTTTGACAGCAGCACGATAATAGGGGGTGCCTTCACTATGTGTGTATTATTTGTGTATTATGTGTGTATTATAATTGTCGGGAGCCGCGCGAAAGGCCACCAGGGGCCTCCACAGTGGCCCCCGGTGACCTTGCGTTGAAGAAGAACACTGCATTGTATGATCACATGAAACCTTCTTCTGATCTTCCCACATGATAGGCTGACACGTGATGACAACAGCCTTCTATTGAAGACCGGAAACAGGAAGACCTCTTCACAGTTCTGGCAAATCGCCTGACGAGGCTGGTTGCAATCACCAACGAAACGTCGTACTCGAAATGTAAACGTTGGGGGTTTACTCTCCAACACACCGATGTGCTGAAGCAGTAACCAATTGGCACGTTTTGCTTACAGGACAAAACGTACTAATTGGCTGTGTCGGGTGGTGGCGGGTTTCACGACGCATTTATATTTACGCAATCTCACCCCCCTCCCCCCGAAAAAAAAAATCGGAAAATCACCTAACTGCATTGGGAGACTGCGGTGTTAACTCAAGCTGAATGTTTAGAGACGGAGAGCGGAAAATTCCCTTTGTGTAAGCATCCCAGCAGCTGGTATAAATTGTTAGTCAAGCTGCCATGTACAAGCACTGCGCGTGCTTCAAGAGTTGTAGCGGAACGTTGCCCCCCACCGCGCAGTGGAACACAGCTGCCACAGACGGAAGTACTGGCACCAACACACGCGGCTCAAACATGCAATATCACAGCGAGTGGAAGAAGGAGCCTTCTGCATCATTGTGTAATGAGCGACTTCCATGACACATCAAGTAGAGGGTACTTCTTTTATTTCTCACACTGGGCACAACACAGGACCAACCTTATTCTTTTCACTCTGAGTACAACACTTCGATATTACTGGCTACACACAGCCGATCACTCGGCGTGGTCCCACCGCCCCTCGGCCACGCCGCTGGCTGGCGGCGTGATGATGACGGCGATGGAAACCCCGCAGGGAATCTTCCACGTGGCCAGACGACGGAGAGAGATGTCGGCGAGCAGCGACGCAGCCAGGACCCAAGAATCCACGCACGAACCTCGGGCCCCGGGTCTACTCCCCCTTATATCCCCCCAGGCGTGGCTAAGCTCCGCCTCCGGCCACGCCCTCTCGTGGAACCTTCCATCAGGTTCTCTGAGTATCTCGGCTAACGCCACCTGTTTCCTTTGCCCCAGATACACCTCCTTCTCTTATTGGTTGTTACTTTAACCGTGGCCGTACCTGTGCTTCTGTTTCCTAGGCAGCAGGTGTCACCATGTGATTACAATTGTAAAACACTCCCCTCCTCCATATGTCAACACGTGAGCCCTCCCCACCGCTGGAAAAGTGACCACGCATGGCCTAGCGAGAGAGCGTTCATCGCTTGTCACAGAGGTTCACGCGGATCGAATCCAGCATCCGCCCTGGTTATTACTGCGGTGCGTTGATCGCTAACAATCAGCAGTCACTGCCCCCTACTGGTAGACTCATGAACTGAACTAAACTTTTTTTTTCATCATTAGACCTCCTTTGCCAGTACCAAAATATAATAATAGGGTTTTTCCCCTTTTTCTGGCAACAAAACTGAAACCTTTTTACAAGGATTCATGTCTGCATTAACCGCAATACTTGCAGTCAAATGCAAGTATTGTGGTTAATGCAGGCATGAATCCTTGTAAAAAGGTTTCACCTTAGTTGCCAGAAAAAAGGGTAGAAACCCTATTATTATTATATATTTTTTATATTACAAGGTAAGGCCTACTGAGCGGTGTAGCTATTTTTTCAGAAGCGACCTGGCCCCAAATTAGAACTCAACGGAGTGGATTATCATCGTGTGGAAATGTATAGCAGCGGCCAAATACTCTAAACGTAAGTTTCTAAATGTGCAAAGAAAACCCGGAGGAAAATCCACGTGACCACGGGGAGATAGAACTTGCAAACTCCAAATATACAGCAGGCGTCAGGGTCGTGATCGAACCCACGACCTCCTGTATATTAGGCGAGATAGTTAACATCTAGCTACCATGGCGAAGGTCACACATGGAAATCAGATTGCCCTTGTCCATTGAGTTGCGTCACCTGGTTAAACAAAATGCACTTGAACGACAACACCTCCGCTACCATTCCAGGGCGCAATATAGGTTTACAAAAAAAACATCTCGTAGAGCACCAAAACGACATTGCGGCCCAACACAGCCCAGATGTGTCCCACGAAGCGTCTTGGAGCGACCTGCCGAACTACGGCTCACTGAGACACAAGATCAGTGAGATGAGCAGATACGGTACACAATAGACAAGAAGGCTACGGGCCAACATCTAACTAAATAACTCTGGTTTAAATTTCGATTTAAAGCTTTCGTGACTGCAGGGATTCATCTTCTTGGTTCTTTCGGTAAAGTCACTTAGAAGGGAAGTAATAAAACAATAAAAATAAAACATAATAAAATACGACTGCTTGCGTTGTGGCCGAAACGTCGTGAGAATTATTTTAACTCTGGTTTAGTGAGTGGGCTCCAACATCTCATTCTGGTGTGGAGGGGGGGCATTTAGTCACAATGAAATGTCGGGGACATTGGTAAGGGGCCGTCCATAAATGACGTCACGCGATTTTGGACGATTTTTCCCCCTCCCCCCCCCCCCCCATCGTCACACGGCGTCACAAAAAGTCAGACCCCCCCTCAAATATGACGTCACAAAGCTCTGCCCCTTCCCCCCCTAAAAAAATAAAGCATGCTTCAAATCGCTTTAAACTATTGTCATTGTAGTGCGTATTTAATGTGGCGCTGCACTCTGATGTTGTAGGAGAAAACATTTATTAAAAGTATATTTAATTAAGTAGAACGTGTTGTCTATCTTTATTTAAAGTTGCGCATTTTGATGTGACGTCACATTTCTCAACCCCCCACCCTCGTCACACATCGTCACAAATGTCTGACCCCCCACCCCAGGTGCGTGACGTCATTTATGGACGGCCCCTAATGTGAAACGCTCATAATAATAATTGTATCTCACAGCGTTATTCAACTCAGAGGCGCAAGGAAGTGCGGACAGGCGGGAAGGCAGCCCCACGTGATATGCCGGCGTCAGATTCCACCCGCGTCCTCTATATATGAAGGTGTCATCAGCCAATTATTGAGTGTTTACACGTGTGTGGAGACCAGAGCAGACGTGCCCGCAACACTTTCCTCAGCACGTGGAATAGCTGAA